TCCCAGCTACTCAGGAGGCTGAGGCAGGAGAATCGCTTGAACCTGGGAGGCAGAGGTTGCAGTGAGCCGAGATCGTGCCACTGCACTCCAGCCTGGGCAACAAAAGCGAAACTCCGTCTAAAATAAATAAAATAAAATGCAAATTTCATTATGTCACTCTCTGCTTAAAATCTTCAGTACCTCCCCATTGTCTGCAAGATAAAGCCTACAATCCTCTGCTTGTCATTCAAGGCATGGCCCAATCTGGCCACAGCCTCATCTCCTGCTACACACAACAAGGCACGTACCTTGTACTCTGGTCACACCGAACACACCATACATTTAATTTTCATGTTTGTATTTTTTTTTAACCTTCACTGCCTAATGACAAATCTGTTTCTCTTTCATGACTCACCTCAAGCACATTTCCTCTAGGGAGACTTTTCTTGACATGACCAGATAGAACTCACGATTCCCTCATCAGTCTCTTCACTTCATCCCATAAACACTTCTATTATGACCTCAAATAACACTTTATGGCCATTATTTTCTCCACATTTGTTCTGTCTGTATGTGATACTCCTCAGGGGAAGCCCCCATGTCTTTTCATCTCTGTGCCTCTTAAACTCTACCATACTGATCACATTGTCCTCTGAACATGCTAGGCCTTTTTATGACATCCACCTTCAAACAGGTGGATCCGTCTGCTGGGAATGCCATTCTCCCTTTCTCCTCTGCACAAGCAAATATCTACTCATCTTTTGAGACTCATCTGAAGTGTGCTCTTTCTGAAATATGTGCACATTCTCGGTGTTAGCTGTTCCCCACTGTGTGCTCCCTTAGCCTTTTGGTAAACTCTTGATTTTAGCATTTGTTATGTAACATTTTATTATAATTATCAGCATACATGACTGCCTCCCCTACCCGTCTCCCCCACCTCCACCCTTAGGCTTTGATATCTCAGCAGTTATCTTTATGTCTCTAGCACAAAGCACTATAGGTAAACAATAAATGCTTCCTTGGTCAATAATTAAATAAAGTCTTTTATGGTACATGGTGGCCTGGGTAGGTCAGTAGGCTTTGAATACTTATTTGTATATCTGGTCAAGCCACCTCTGGGTAGATGCTTGATTCATAGGCTTTTCTAGGTCTTGACTCGAAATCTCTCTGTATTGATTTTCCAGGTGCTTAATGATCAATAGCTGGTGCACTGCCTATCCTCACCTCCCCATGAGCCTTGGTTTTTATGCAACCTATGGTCATGCAGGGATGCCCTTATACCCTCCCACGATGTCATGATTGGCAGGCAGCTGACCAGTTCCATCATAGCAGCAGCCTCCGAAGCACCTGCCCCCACCCTCAGGTAAGAATCTGATAGTAAAAGAAAGACCTGTGGAGAAAGAGTGGACACAGGATCTGTGTATCCTTGGGGTACCCACACTTCCTAAGGCTCAGGGGCATTCTCTGTATACATGTAATCCCTTGGATAGCGTGGGGAATATATTGGGCCCATCCTTCATTACTCATGATGTCTTTTATGGGGGGGCATAGGGAAAGGAAGAGCATTGGGCTGAGCAGCTCAGAGGGCCCACTGCAGCTGAGCGGGGCTGCTTCTAAGAGTTACAGGTCCAGGAATGTCCTAGAAGAGTATGATCCTTCAGGGCATGGTCTAGGACAAGGCAGGACCTTCCTTTGCCTTGGCTTCTCTGTGGCATGCCTTCCATATTCTGCAGGTGTCTCTCTCCTGCCATCAGCTTTTCCTCTCAAGTTCCTAGCCTTTTTCATAGCTCCTGGCTCAGCCCCACTTAGAATTCCCTGAGTTCCATATCTGCCTGTTCTCTCTCTCCGCTCCCGTAGTAGTGTGATGGTGGTGGTGTATGTGCCCGCCTGTGTATGTTGGTAAGCAGGTAGAGGATGTATGTGAGACAGTAGGGAGGGCAGCCCCCTTTCCCAACAATGAGTGAGGTCTCGGGAAAGTTGACTGGAGAAGGGAGATGCCTAAGCATACTTTGGGTTGCCCTACAATACTTTGGGGTCCAGAGGCTATGGGAGTGTGAGAAAGTGCTATGTCCCCTGGAGCCTCACAGATGGGCTGCAGTGCTGAGTCACTGCTAGGGGGCAGGCAGCAGTTGAATATACAGGAAGGAAGAAGGGAGGAAAAAGGAAGTGGGGATGGAGAATGTGGATGCTGGGGAGCCCATTTTGGGGGCAGTAATGAAGGAAAGTCAAGGTCCAGAGAGGCATTAGAGTCAGGTCCCCCTGAGCTATTTTCCCACGTCCAACCAGAAAGAAATTACTGCCTGGAACATATTCTCAAAGCAAGGGTCAACGTAGACTCCCCCATTAACCTACCCCTTCCCTAGAGTGGGACTTTCACAGGGTTGAGGGATTGAGAAACTGAGCCCTTCCAAAAGGCTTACCCTGTTCATTGTCTACCCCCACCAAGCACCACCATGTAGGCAGGGAAACCTGAGGGCTTCATTTTGTGATTGCCGATGGCATGGCCCAACTTCTGTCTTCTGTCACAATCCAGTTTCTCTTCCTTTTCTGCAGCCTTTTTCTCAAAGATTCAAGGGATGGATAGAGAACCTCAAAGGGAGTGGGGTGCAAGAAGCAAATATCCTGGCTGCAAAAGCCAGAAGTAGAAGGCAATTGATAGTGAAGGGGAAATAAAACATTACTATTCATCATTTGCCTATTGTGTGCCTGGCTCTGCTAGGTGTGACTTGAGAGTATATGGGGAAGTAGGAGAGGGAGAGCAGGGTGATGGAGAATAGTATGGCAGCTGGGTGGGGGTTTAGGAAACCAAGAAGTCTGCAGGGAATGCAAAGCTGACATGGGTGGAGCCCAGCTCACGGTGGGTGCTCCCCTCAGCGTCAGGACAGCTTGGTTGTGGCTGGGTCACAAGGGGCTGTTGCTAACGCTGGGGCATTCGCAGTGCAGAGGACCCAGCACAAGTGAAGCTATGGCCCAGAGGTAGAGCAACTCCCTGCTCTTGGCCTGCCATCCCCTGCCATCCCCCAGCCACCCTGATTGGCTCCACCCCAGAACCCCAGAAAGAGTCAGGCAGCTGTTCCAACTATTCCTGTAGGTGGGCCTCAGCATGGAAACAATGTGGAACTGTTGGAAAGTCCAGAAGACTCTGTGGGAGATAAATGAGGATGGGAACAGAACACTTATTGGTGAAAACGATGTGTTTTCCCTCAGTGCTGATGGATGGGGGCCCAGCTTGGGAATGTTAACCTTTTCCCAGACAAGTCTGCTGGAAAAGGAGAAGAGTGGCCACTTCAGGAGGGGCCCTACCCCTCAGGCCAGTGGCTTATGGGAAAGGGCCTTCCCCTGCCCCCACCCAGGGTAGCACAGGCAGGGCACAGGAGCCTCCCTGGCAATGACTGCCTACATGGAACTGCTGGATCCCAATGACCCGTTTCCCTCCCCTGTGAAGGTTCAATGGGATGCCCATAAACCGTCCATTTCCCTTTGGCCTCAGGGTGCAGCGAGAGGTCTGAGGGCTATGGCTCTCCCTCCACTCCTCTCTACCTCTCAAAGGCAGGGCAGAGCACCCCTCTATTTTCACAGTGGACTCTGACAAATCTCCTGGCCTCTGCACTCACCCAAGGATAATCACATTCAGAGGAATTCTGCTGCCCCTGCTTCTCGATGCTGCCATCCCATGTCCTTTGTCCCTGAAACCTTCCTCGCTGTCTCTAAGGAGGCTTACTTAGTCTAAGACAAGGATTATTTTCCAAGCCCATCCTCTTATCATGTCTTGGGGAAATTGCTTACCAGAAGCTTGTCACCAAGGTGGTGTGATCTTATCCTCCACCTCAGGGGAGGGGTGGGCCTAGAGGCAGAGTGACCCCTTTGTGTCTTCCATGGAAAGGGAAAATAAATCAACAGAAGCTACCCTCTGCATGCCCCTCCTCAGCACCATGGAATGCCCAGTCCCACTCCTGCCATCCTTGCCAGCCTGAGAGGGCCATCCTGGCCCCGGTGTGGCAGGCCCAGTTGGGAGTGAACCGGAATTCTCCAGAGACAAAGCTCTGATTCACCAACCAGGCCCTGACATAGCCGCCCCCTCCAGATTCCTGGGGGGTCAGTAAACAAACAGGGTGACAACCCCCGCCTCCTGGCCTGGCTCAGCCCCGCCTGCCTCCCTGAGAGGGCTTGCTTAGAGCCTGTCAGGATTCTGCCTGTCTGTGGCTCATCAGGCACTAGGTCTGGATTCCTGGTGAGGGATGATCATGGAGCTGCCGGATCCTGCTACGGACTCCCCAGGCAGCACAGGTAGGGTGAGCTCCTGGGGCTACAGGCTGGCTGAGTGCTGAGCTTTTCCCATAGCTTGACTGCTTCTTCACTTCCCTTTGTCGGTGTGGCTGTGGGCTATGATTTTAATGGGATAATTGGTTTCCTAAATTGTCTGGAGAGTCTTGTGTGGGGAAGACATATGGTTTGGGGGCAAGGGGAGACTACAAGAGTCTCAACCACTGACTAGCAGGGCTATTTTCTTTCCAAATGAATGCAAGCGTGTAGACAGGCAGGTAGGCAGGCGTGGGTCTCTCTAGTCTGTGGTAGAACAGCCCAGGCTAATTTCCTCCTCCAATTCCCCTTCCCGCCGCCTGCTCCGTCCCCTTGGCTGGGCAGTTCTGGCACTGTGCTATAGGTAGCTACCTTCCTTGGGGCTATCTGGGATAACCACCCTTCCCCCAAACCCCACAATTCCCCCCATAGGGCCTTACCAGTGCCCAGGAGAGCAAGCAGTAGAGTATGTGCCTGAGGGCTCAAGACTAGACTTTGGCAGGCTCCATGGCTTGTCCTCTTGGCCACCAACTCTGGTCAGAGTCCTCCGCTCATCTTTATGAGCAGTTCTCTTGAAGACTGTGTCCAGGCTTCCTGACTGTGGTGGGAAGTACAGGTGGGGAAGGGTGGTGGACACATCAAAGCCAAGGTTCATATGGGAAGTAAGACATAGATCACTGATCGTTCTCTCTTGCCAGTCTACTCCCTCTATAAATCTTTATGGAGAAACTTCTCAGCTTGCTTTTCTAGAAGATTGAGTAAACTGTAGGACCCTGAAGTATGAGCCAACAGCTTACCTGGAATGGTATGGTTGTCCAGAATTTGGGCAGTTCTGTGCAGCTTCTTACCTAATGTAGGTACTTCCAAGACCCCATCTGGGCAGTGGTCCTGAGGGGTGGGGTCCCAGCTTGGGAATGTTAACCTTTCCCTAGGGCCAAAATTTATAATAATGAGTAACAATAATAGTAGGCAGCAGTTCTATGTAATTGACCTGTACCAAGAGAAGACCTGGCAATGAACAGGACCACAGGGTCTTTCTTCATCTCAACCCCTGAACACACAGAGAATAGCGTTTCTGAACCCTGGCAGCAGCCCTTCTCTCCCCTTGTTCACACTTCTCTCACCCTTGGCTTGGTGCAGACCAGGGTGTGGCACAATTCAAGGATCACAGGATGTTTGTGTTTCTGTCCAGGTTAGAGCTGTTGTCACCAGCCCTGCACCTCCTCAAGATGGTGCTGGGGTTCCCTGCCTAAGCCTAAAGCTGTTGAACGGGTCTGTTGGTGCCTCTGGACCCCTGGAACCACCAGCCATGAATCTGTGTTGGAATGAAATAAAAAAGAAGTCTCATAACCTCCGGTAAGAAACAGGTCCCTTAGGGAATTGGCTTAGATGGTGTTGGGCTCCTTTTGCTGCTGCACCCTGTCCTTCTCCTCTCAGCCTGTGCATCCCCCTTTCCTCAGCCCACCCACTTCTCCCTTTCCTATGCTGGCACTGGGGAAAGAGCCTTGCTTTAGAAGTCAGGAGACTTGGATCTGAGCCTCAGTTTTAAGTCACCTTGAGTAACTTGTTTGAGTTCTCGAAATGTTAGCTTCCATTTGTTTTTGTTCTTTATAAGGACAAAAAATGAGTGGAGGAATAATACCTGTTCTAACTACCTCACAGTGTGGTCATGGGAATTCAAATCAGATGTTGAAATGCTTTCTAAACTTAAAAGTGCCGATGTATAAATGAAGGGGATGATTGCTCCCATCTCCTCTTCCTCTCATAGCTGTCCTACATCTTAGTAGGTCCCATCTGTTCTCTTCCCCATCCTTTTACGTTCTATCTATAAGTTTTCAGCCCACCTATTTCTCCCCAAACTAAGGGTAGCTCTGTAAGAGCCTAAAGGCAGTTTTTTTTCTCAGTTGTTCGGCTTTCCCTAGCTGTCTGTGCATGCCTGCCACTTTTTTTCTCTGCCCTCTATCATCAAAGCTTCTGGCTTCTGGCGGGCTTTATTAGGGGTGAGGCATTGTGGATAAGTTGATAGAATGCAGGCTTTGGAGTCAGGTAAACCTGAGTTCAAATCATAGTTCTATCAATGACTTAACTGTGTGACCTTTAGGAACCTACTTACCCTTTCTGAGCAATAAGAATGCCTACCTGATAAGGTTGTTGTAAGAATTAGTTGAAGCAATAATTTAGGTAAAGATCTTGGTCTAGGTGGTGGTGGGAAGGGGAGCAATGAATAAAGATAGTTATTATTGTCAGCCAAGGGGAATGGCTTGATGACTGCACATATTCTTGGCCAGCCTCCAGCCTCCTACCATGGTTCATTTGGAGGGCAGCGGGGTGGGAGGGCAGACAGAGATAATTATACAGTACAGATTTTTCTGTTTCCATATCTCAGACCTCTAGCCAATGTTCCTTTGGGTCCCAAGGGCTGTTATATTCATATGCATCCTTGCACATGTGCATGCCTACACTCAACCACCCAACTTGCCCTTTCCACTTACTGAATCCTCTCCTGCTCAGAGGGCAGTTCGGAACAGCCTCTATGGTTGAGCAGTTTGGCGTGACTTGAATTCTACCAGGGCAAGAGGGGAACCAGACAGCTGTCACCTCTAATGCCCTTGCTCAGTTTCCTACGCTTCCCAGCCTATTGTTTGGCATGCAACTGAAGTAACTGAGATCCACAAAGCGACATTTTAAACCATTCAAGTTTGGGATGCCTCCACACCCATGGTTCTACCTACTGGTTTTAGTACTGTGCTCCATGTGGAGGTGCCTTGGGACCCTTTTTGGGTGGATAAGAGGGAGGACTCCAGGCCTCCTCCCACTTGAACCAGAAAAGCTCCTCCTGAATTTGTTCTCGATATTAAAGTTCCATATAACTTAGTTTGGGAAAAAAGTTTTGCCACTTAAAAAGAAGACTGAACATCACTGGTTTTACCCATTGTGTGCAGCGCTCGCCTAGAGGCCTTCTCAGACCACAGTGGAAAGCTTCAGCTTCCTCTTCAAGAGATTATTGACTGGCTCAGCCAAAAGGATGAGGAGTTGTCAGCTCAGCTGCCCCTACAAGGGGATGTGGCCCTGGTGCAACAGGAGAAGGAGACACATGCGGTAGGTTAGAATCAGAGAAGCCGTGGTGTGTAGCCTCTCAGCTGGGGAGGAATCCCTTCTGCAGTACCCTGACAGACACCCAGCTCTGCTTAGACACCTAAATGAATAGGAGGCTGTATGCAATCCTACTAGCCTGTGGCTAGCATGCCACAGCCTAAGTCAAGTATTTTCTTTCTACCCCTCCCATCAAATTCTGGCCCCCCTTAAAATACTGCCATGATTTTTAATGGGAATATGGGGAAATGAACATAATATAATGCTAAATGAAAAAACGCAGGATACAAAACTAAGTGCAAGTGGATCTCAATTGTATAAAAATGTATATAGATAAGTGTGATGTTTACATACATATAACAGCATAGGAAGGAACTATATCAAAATGTTAACAATGGTTAATTCTATGTAATAAAATTGGAGTTCCTAATTTTCTTCATATCTTTCTGAAATTTCTAGTATTTCTGTGATATATATTACTGCTGTAGTTAAAATACTTCTTAAAATGACTACAGAATGAAATATAATACAGCAATAAAATAAAATAAACTATAACTGCGTGCCACAGCATGGGTGAATCTTACAGACAGTATGTTGAGTGAAAGAAAAGCCGGATACAAAAAGAGTACATACTGTATGATTCCACTTATATAAAGTTTTAAAATAGGCAAAACTAATCAGTGGTTTTACAAGGATTGTGGTCACCTTTGTGGGAGGGGAGGGAGGGGTGGGGCGTGAAGATGAGATAGTGACTAGGAGGGCCCACCGGGGATGCTGATAGAATTCTGTTTCTTGATCTCAGTACTGATTACATCAAAATGTACACTTTTAGTTTGTGTACCCTGTATATATTTCAACCAAAAATTTAGTTATAATTTTAATATAAATCCTGCCTATCTTGGTTTTGATTTTCTTAAGACCGTTACAGGAAGCTTTCTGAGTCTTTTGGAGAACCAAGATCCCCACATTTTTCTCTATCCTGTGGCACAGACAGACAAATTTCATACTAAACAGACCTTCCAGTGTCAGAGTTATTTTTCTGCCTATCAGGAGGATTGCACGTCTTTTTTGTCTAGGTAGTTCAAAGATACCTGATAATGCCAAAGAATCACGTCGCACTGAGAAGAAAGGCTGTCAGTTGCAGGATGGAATGTAAAGTGATTGAAAAACTTTCCTTTCCTGTTGACCATATTGCTAAACTTTATAGGCCTTTATGGAAGAAGTCAAGTCTCGGGGCCCCTACATCTATTCTGTGCTGGAGTCGGCTCAGGCCTTCCTGTCCCAGCACCCATTTGAGGAATTAGAGGAGCCTCATTCTGAGAGCAAAGGTAGGTGGTCTTCTGTTTTTCCCACTTCTTCTTGAGTCGTGTACTGCTGAACAAACACCCTCCTGCCTTCCCCAAACTCATTTTCTTATCTGTTATCTGGGAGGATAGTTTCCCCCAGGAGTCCATCCAAATTTGGGGGAAAGCAAGATTCCTACTGCAGGAAAATAAAGCAAAGAGAATATAACCTGGAGCAGGGGTCAACAGTTGTGTGACCCAAAGCTGTGTGTGGCTCTTTGGAGCAGCATGTGTGGCCATTTAATGAGATGTGGAAAAGAAAAACAAAAAAACCACTCAAATGAATTGAACTGACTCAATAAATAAAAGTACCAGTATGTCCTTTAAAAACACAGTGCTGGCTGGGCACAGTGGCTCATGTCTGTAATTCCAGCACTTTGGAAGGCTGAGGCAAGAGGATCACTTGAGCCCAGAAATTCAAGACTAGCCTGGCAACATAGTGAGACCCCCATCTCTACAATTTTTTTTTTTTTTTTTTTTATGAGATGGAATCTCACTCTGTCGCCCAGGCTGGAGTGCAGTGGTATGATCTTGGCTCACTGCAAGCTCCACCTCCTGGGTTCACGCCATTCTCCTGCCTCAGCCTCCCGAGTAGCTGGGACTACAGGTGCCCGCCACCACACCCAGCTAATTTTTTTTGTATTTTGAGTAGAGACGGGGTTTCACTGTGTTAGCCAGGATGGTCTCGATTTCCAGACCTCGTGATCCACCTGCCTCGGCCTCCCAAAGTTCTGGGATTACAGGCATGAGCCACCACGCCCGTCCCCAAATTTTTTTTTCAATTAGCTAGGTTTTGTGGTGTGTGCCTGTAGTCCCAGCTACTTGAGAGGCTGAAATGGGAGGATCACTTAAGCCCAGAAGTTCAAGGCTGCAATGAACTATGATTGCTCAACTACATTCCAGCCTGGGCAACACAGCAAGACCCTGACTCCAAAAATAAATAATATAAAATAAAATAATAAAGTAAAATAATCATAATTTTAGAATACTGCTTTATTCCAACATCGAGGGACATGCAAACCAGCAAATAATAAACCTTTATAAAATCTAAAAAGTTAGGTGATGATTGCCTTTGAAAGGCAAATTGACTATGACTCTTTGGGATTTTTTTGTGTTTAGTCTTTGTTTTTGAGACAGCCTCTTGCTCTATAATCCAGGCTGGAGTGCAGTGGCGTGATCACAGCTTATTGCAGCCTTGACCTCCCAAGCCCAAGCGATCCTCCTGACTCAGCCTCAGCATCCTGAGTAGCTGGGACTACAGGAGCATGCTACCACACCCAGCTAATTTTTGCATTTTTTGTAGAGACCAGGTCTCGCCATGTTGGCCAGGCTGGTCTTGAACTCTTGGGCTCAAGTGATCGGCCTGCCTTGGCCTCCTAAAGTGTTGGGATTACAGGTGTAAGCCACTGCACCCAGCCAACTGTGACTCTTTGATACTGACTCCGATGACTTCTAGCCCCTTCCCTTGATAGAGAGGGCCATTCTGGTCTAGATTCAAATAAGGCAGCGGGATGGGACTCATGGTGACTAGATGTGAGTGGTGGTCTAGCAAGCCCTCTTCTCCGAAAAGAATCCTCAACCCTCTGAGATGGATTGTCAATAGCCTGAAAGAACCCTTTGTGAATTGAGCCCTTTGTCAATGCCATATGCCCTCTTAGTTTACTTCTGGCCCCTCAATGGGAGGGCCAGTACTTAATTTGATGCCCAATGGGCCTCAGATAGGACAAGCTCTAGAAAGAGCAGCACAATTCTAGTTAGCTTGGGGCTATGGGGCTCTGGACCTTCTGAGGAGAGATCTGAGGGAGGAAGAAGAAATCTATAGATTAGGAGCCTAGGTGGAAAAGCTGGACACATACCAACTTCTCCTGGGCTGAGCCTTCATAAAATGCCTCCCCTTGGCTGGAAGTGGGCAACAGAAACTAATGGAAAATCACATTCCAGGATCATATGAGTAGGGCTCTAAATGGTTTGCCTCACTATGCCTCTTATAATGTCTTACTTTTTCATTTCCTACTGTTTTAAAATATGAGGAAGTCCTCATGATACATAGTAAGTGGAAAAAATCAGTATGGTCTGTTGACCGTGGTGGTGGATATGTAAACCAACGCATATGGTAAAATCACATAGAACTAAACACACGTGTACACACATGCACGCACGAATACAAGTAAAACTGGGGAAACTTGGACAAAATTGGCAGATTATGTCAATATCAATATCCTGATTGTGATATTGTACTGTAGTTTTGCAAGATGTTATCATTTGGGGAAACTGGGTAAAGGGTACATGAAATCTCTGTGTTATAACTGCCTATGACTCCACAATGATTTAAATATAAACAGTTTTTTTTTAAGTGAATGTATTAAAGGCCTCGACCATGGAAAAATATGTATTTGTGTGTATATGAATATATACACAAACATGCCCACATGTACACACACACACATTTTATAAAGGGCTGTTTCTGTCTCTTTCTCTGGGCTGACCCTGCCTGGTTGGCCTAACTTGGCTTCCTGCCTCCTCTTGCAGATACCTCCCCGAAACAGCGAATCCAGAATCTCAGCCGCTTTGTATGGAAGCAGGCGACAGTAGCCAGTGAACTGTGGGAGAAGCTGACAGCCCGCTGTGTGGACCAGCACCGTCATATTGAGCGGACTCTGGAGCAGCTCTTGGAGATTCAAGGGGCAATGGAGGAACTAAGCACTACTCTGAGCCAAGCCGAGGGAGTCCGAGCCACTTGGGAGCCCATCGGGGATCTCTTCATTGATTCACTCCCAGAGCACATCCAGGCTATTAAGGTATGCAAGCCCCCTCCCCTGACTACAGTCTACCCTGAGACCTGACACTCTCCCCAGACCCTGACAATGTTTCTGCTGCTGAGACTTCATTGTTGGCCTGGACTGCAACTGAACTGCCGTCAGTTTATGTGCTAGATTTGGGGCTGGTTTGGCTGGAGTCTCTTCTGTTTTTCTACCTTCTTCTCTTTTCCTGGTGTTTTCTGAGGATGAGAGGAAGAGGATAAGGACAGTGGCCACCCACACCTTAGTCTGGTTGCCCTAATAGGCAAGCACTAGCCTGTGTTATTGAAACAAAACCTCTGGGTGAAGAGGGAAGAGTAGAGGTGAATGACTATTGGTTCTTCTTTCCCACTCTGTCTGCTGTGGCACTTGGGTCCTGGTTCTCCAGTTGTTCAAAGAAGAATTCTCCCCCATGAAAGATGGAGTAAAGTTGGTGAATGATCTGGCCCACCAGCTTGCCATTTCTGATGTGCACTTGTCAATGGAGAATTCCCATGCCCTGGAACAGATCAACGTCCGATGGAAACAACTGCAGGTAGAAGAGCAGCCTGGAGTGAACCATGGGGAGGTGCCTCCATATAACTAGGCTTGGTGGAAACTTCTTCAGGGTTATGGAAATGGGATGTGCATGGGAAAAGAGGAGTGGAGAATGTAGAGCTAGGGAATGGGCTTTTCAACCTCTACGCTGCAGGGAATGATTGAAGTGAATAAGAGGGGTCTTTCTGGATTTGGGCACTCAGGATAGACAGGAGCAGGGGAAGAGTGACTGTGGCCTGGAATTAGGGATGCTCTGCTGTGACTTTTGGGAGTTCTGGGGGATGGCTAGGAGTTGGGTGACGGTGGGAGAGGCTGGAACCAGAGAAAAGCCAGTCTCTGAGGAAGCTCATAAAGATTCCCGGAGGTACCTGGGGATCCCACTCTAAATAACTGGAATGAATCTACTGATCTCACCCTGTTCTTTCCATAGGCGTCAGTTAGTGAGAGGCTTAAGCAGCTCCAGGATGCCCACCGGGACTTTGGGCCTGGGTCACAGCACTTTCTCTCCTGTACGTGAACCAAACTGGACTCCACTTAGCAGAACCTCAGACATCTTCCTGGAGAGTCTATTGTTATCCCCTGGGGCCCTGGTGGGAGCCCAGTATACCTTGACACCCGAGAAGCAGTAAGGATAAAACAGTGTGGTATAGTGGTTAAAAGAACAGTCTCTCGGCTGGGCGTGGTGGCTCACGCCTATAATCCCAGCACTTTGGAAGGCTGAGGTGGGTGGATCACCTGAGGTCAGGAGTTCGAGACCAGCCTGGCCAACATGGCAAAACTCCATCTCTACTAAAAATACAAAAATTAGCTGGGTGTGGTGGTGGGCGCCTGTAATCCCAGCTACTTGGGAGGCCGAGGCAGGAGAATCGCTTGAACCCAGGAGATGGAAGTTGCAGCCGGGGCGACAAGAGTGAAACTCCGTCTCAAAAAAAGAAAAAAAAAAAAAAGAACAGTCTCTCAAATTGGAGAGATCTGGATCTGAGGCACAGCACCTCAACCTAATAGCTATGCAGGCTCAAAATTTAGAAAAATAGCTTACTGTTTTGGAACCTCAATTTTCCCATATGTAAAAAGAAGGAAAAATATTACCTAGCTCATCAGGTTATGGGAATTAAATGACTTTATTTTTTCAAAGATATTTATTGAGGGCCTTCTGTGAGCCAGATACTGCTCTAGGCACTGGGGCTGCATCAGTAAACAAAACACACAGAAATCCTTAGACAGCTTATATTCTAGCTGGGGAAACCAGACCACAAACAAATAAGTAAAATATATATAAGGTTACTTGGTGACAAGGGCTATGGAAAAAATTAAAGCAGGGAAGGCATGGATAGGGAGTGCTGGATTTAAGCGGGGAGGTGTTGCAATTTTGAACAGGGTGGTTAACAGAGGCCTCACTGAGAAGGTGGCAATTGAGCAGAGGTCTAAAGAAGGTGAAGGGTTGACCTGTGTGGATGATAACTGAGGGAAGAGCATACCAGACAGAGGGAACAGCATATTCCACACGCTTAAGGTAAGGATATGTCTGGAAAACAGCAAGGAGAGCAAAGTGCGGGGGAGTAGGGGAGGCTGGAGCATGTAAGGCCTTGTAGGCAATGGGAGGAACTTCAGATTTTATTCTCAATACAATGGAGAACGATTGGCATGGTTTGAGCCAAGGGATGGCATGATCTGCCTTATGTTTCAACAGAGTCAGGGTGTTGAGAAGAGACTACTGGGGAGCAACAGTGGGAACAGGGAGACCTATTTGAAGGTACATTGCAATAATCCAGGTGAAGGATTATGGTGGCCCAGACTGGGAGCTGGTGGTGGCCCAGACCAGGGGGCTGGTAGCAGTGGAGATGGTAAGAATATACAGACAGAAAAATGAGATATGCACACAAAGCAATGAGCATAATATCTGGCACATAGTAGGAGCTCAGTAAATGTTAACTGTGGTTAAAATTATTGCTATTATAATCATTGGCATACAGCTATACCTGCAGTCAGAGGACTCTTGTACCGAGGAAAACTGCAGTGAGCAAGCTGACCATGTAAACGGGGCCATTCCTTGAAGTTCAAAAGATAGACACAGGCAGAGAGAGGCATGAGTTTCCAGAGTTCCTCATGAGAGAGAGAGAAGTGGGCAGTACCATTACCCACAGTCCCACAGGACTGAGAAGCTTGACCTTCTAGGGGAAGAGCTTTGAACCCTAAGAGTAAAGTGGAGTCTACTTCATATCCACAAGAGTAATCCAGCTGCCTGCAGCTGATGGGTAGAAATGGCAGTCTGCTTAGGGAGAAGATTGTCAGGGTGGCCAAGGCCAAGTATTCCTGTTCATACCCTTGCCATATCTCTGGTATGTTAGGATATCGGTGACAGCCTCTTCTCTTTGCCTTGCCCTAACATCAGGGAGAGAAGCGTGTTCATTAGAACTCTTTGCCCCACCCTCAGAGGCTGTTAAGAGCTGGCAATGAAATTCAGACATCCCCTTTTGGGCTTGACCACCTCTTTGGGAGGATAGAGCAAGGGAGTAGCTGGGGGCCTTAAGAGCATTAGTGGCCATCTTTTTTTTTCTTTCTCTTCTCCTTTACCAGCCTCTGTCCAGGTTCCCTGGGAAAGAGCAATTTCACCCAATAAAGTTCCCTACTACATCAAGTGAGTGACCATCTGAATCAGAAGCGGGTCAGTCACCTGCCCACCCCCTCCCTCTCCTGCCTTTTTGCTACCTATCCTTGTCACTCTGTCTGTTGGGATTCCTCCATCCAGTTCGGGTTTTCTCCTACTCATCTCAAGATCTCAAGATTCTACTTGGGTAAAGGTGAACCCTTGGGCTTTGGCATCTTGGGTTCACCCTCGAATCCTGCAGCTTCTTGCATCCAACCTGTCACCGAGTGGTGTGCACACCTGTATGTGGGGTGGGTGGGTGGTATGGATGCTGGTGCTATTGATGCTATTGTTTGTAGCCACCAGGCTCAGACCACATGCTGGGACCATCCCAAGATGACAGAGTTATACCAAACCCTAGGTAAGAATGTGGGCTTCCTGTATACGGTGGGCATATACACAGCTGCCTTTGTCCTGTAATGTCCATCTACAGATGAATGGATAAAGAAAATGTGGCATATCCACATAGTGGAATATTCAGCCTTTAGAAAGAAGGAAATACTGCCATTTGAAACAATGTAAATGAACCAGGAGGGCATTGTGCTAAGTGAAATAATAAGCCAGAAACAAAAGGCAAATACTACATGATCTCATGTATATAAGGAATCTAAAATAGACAAACTCATAGAAGCAGAGAGTAGAATGGTGGCTGCCAGTGACTGAGGGGAGGGGAAAATGGGGAGATATTGGTCAAGAGTACAAAGAAGTATCAATTATGCAAGATGGATAAGTCCTAGAGATCTATGGTGCAGCATAGTACCTACAGTGAACAATACTGGATTGTATCGTTAAAAATTTGCTAAGAAGGTAGATCTTATGTTAAGTGTTTTTACGGAAAAAAACAATAAAGAGGGTAGTTGGAAGTTTTTGGAAGTGATGGATGTACTAGTGGCATAGATTGTGGTGACGGATTCATAGATGTATACTTGTCTCCAAACTCATCAACTTGTAGACATTGAATCTGTACAGCTTTTTGTATGTCAACTATAACTCAATAGAGTGGTTTTAAAAAGAATAGAAGAGAATCTCAGTCAATAAGCAGGTGGGAGAGGGAATGAGTGCCTCTTCATTTCTCCAACAGCCTGCCTTTCTTTTACCCTCTGCACCTTTCTCAACTGGAGGCTCTACATTCCCCTCTGGACCATTTTATCATTGGATTAGTGCATTATTCTTACAGATGTGAAGTCTGATTTGCTTTAAAAGACTGTCCAGGCTGTGATATGTGTGACTCTCATGTGCCTTATCTTTACCTGCTAAGAGAGACTCATCATTATGTTTGTTGCACATTTTATCCATGCCGATGCATGTGACTACAGTTCATTCTGTTTTACCACTGTAGAATGTTCCATTGTATATAGCACAGTTTCTTTATCCATTCTGCTGTTGACAGACACATGGGTCATTTCTTGTTTTGAGCTAATGAGGGCAGTGCTGCTGAGGAGTTTCTTGTATGTGTCTTCCAGTACATGTGTGCAAAGATTTCTGTGGGACATGTTTTTCAGTCTGCAGGTCATAACATCATTTCAGTGTGTTGTGACAAATATTTAAAAAATTGAAATAGACCAGGAAATATTAATATGCAACAGATCCTTAGCAAGAGTCATAGTTGATATTAATTTTGTTGTTTTCACTCTATCCAATCTAGTAAGGAATTGCTTCCTGAAATGTTTGATTTAGTTATTTTTACATATACACATGTATGCTATAAAATTAATTTCATACTGTAAGTCTTGATCAAAAAGCATTTGCAAGTCACTGCTCTGGGATATATAGCTGGCTGAGTGGTGGGATATATGACTGTTCCATTTTACTAGGTAATACCAAGTTGTTTTCAAAGATGATTGCGTCAGTTCACACTTTCACCATCAGTTCTCATTCATCACCATTCTTGTTGACACTTGCTATTGTCAGACTTCTATTTGTTGCCAGTCTGGTGGGTGTTAAATGGTATCTTGTTGCGCCTTTAACTTGAATTTTTCTGATCTGAGTGGGTCTCTCTCCATTCTTTGCAGCTGATCTGAACAACATTAAGTTCTCAGCTTATCGCACTGCCATGAAGCTCCGCAGAGTCCAGAAAGCCCTGCGCCGTACGTCTCCTGTTGTACTTCCCTATGACGTTCACCACCCCTCTCCTGTTCCTCATCTGTCTGCTGTTTCTCATTTTCATCTCACCTCGGCAGAAGTTGTTGATTGGCTTGGTGGAAACTCTCCAAAGCCTGCAATATGCTAGCTGTCAACTTCTGCTTTTCCCAGTTCCCTTCCACTCTCGCTAAGCCCCAGATGTGTTTCCAAATTAACCCCACTGTTATCCTCTTCCTTGACCCTTTCCCCATGCTCAGTATGTATAATCAAGCAACTGCTTTGTGACAGGAAGTACTGCAACCCATGATTTGCCATCTTGGGGTTATTGGATGTAGTAGTAAAACTGTTGAAGCAAATAGCAGTGGTTAGGGAACAGTGTTGCTGCAGATATAATACGCCTTCTGGCCTTTGTCAAAGACACTATTCATTCAGACTTCCTGGCTTAGGCATGTCTGGCTAGGCTGAGCCAGCATTTGGGGGTAATTAAGGTGTCCTCTTGATGTATGTCACATTTCCCCAACCATACCTGAGCCTTCATTGCTGGTGTCTAGGTTCTCAGAACAAATTTTATAGACAAACCTATTTGCAGTTGAAACTCATGTAAAGACAGGGAAACTCAAAATGGGATTTGATCCCCTGGGAGTTAGTACAACATAGGAGATGAGTTTACTTATGTCCCATCATCTTTTTGAAACTGATGTCAAAGAACATTGGATATAATAACATGTTGGGTTAATTTGAGGAACATTTTGCTGCCTTCTTCCTCCTTGGATGAGGGTCTTAGTAAAGGACAAGCTTGTATCATATTTGCAAATGATTGATCTGGAGATTGAGTCAAATTTGGTGATGCTGGTGGCTTTATCTCCTTATTTAATCCCTGGGGTTCTACTTTTGGCTATATTTTCTCTCTTCTCTTCTTTCCTTACCAGTGGACCTGGTAACTTTAACCACAGCCCTGGAAATCTTCAATGAGCATGATCTGCAGGCCAGTGAGCACGTGATGGATGTGGTGGAGGTCATTCACTGCCTGACTGCCTTATATGAACGTTTGGAGGAGGAAAGAGGCATCCTGGTCAACGTGCCACTCTGTGTGGACATGAGCCTCAACTGGCTCCTCAATGTTTTTGATAGGTAAGGGCTTTCAGCTCTGGAAGGCTCCAGGATAAAATTCAATGGGATATCTCAAGTGGGCCTAGTGGAAAGGTATTGCTCCCATAGTAGACTTGGACCCAACTCAGCTTGGGGCATGATTGGAACAGGGCCCTGCTGGGATCAACTTTGTGAGGGAAATGATTGCCAAGATGTTAACCCTTTACATACATCCATGTTCTCAGTCTCTTCTTTTAAACCTAGTGGTCGCAGCGGAAAGATGCGGGCATTGTCTTTTAAGACTGGCATTGCATGCTTGTGTGGCACGGAAGTGAAGGAAAAACTTCAGTGTGAGTATAACTCCAAAGTGTGGAGTGGTGTTGGGTAGAGGGAGAGGTGTTGTGGGGAGGAGGAAGGATGTAAGATAAACAGAAGGTACATCTTGTGACTCAGCAGAGGGCTACTTTGGCTACCTTGTGATGCTTCTTGGTTCACACTATTGCAAAGAACACATGACAGCCAAAGGACAAGATGGGCCTAAGGCCTATTACTATTCCCAGTGTCACTCCAACGGGCTTCATTCCTTCTGAACTGATGGAAGTGCTTAGTCAGGATCTGTGTTGGCATTTTGAGGTACCCAGGGCCCTGATGTTCTAGTTGCATTCCCCTGCGGCCTATTAGGCTTAGCCCTCTTCCAGTCTGAAGCTCAAGCCATGTCACTAGAGACTTCTTATATACACAGGCAGGGCACAGTCATCCCCAATATCTGGGAGGCGGACACTATGTTCTTCTGTAGTTTCTCACATCTTTGGCTTATAGTACCTTTGCTTTCCCCTCTGTCCTCCATCTTGTGTTCAGCATTTTGAACTTTTCAGTAGCAGCATGATTAGTTGTTGAGCCCTAGTGTGTGTTGACCACTCTGCTAAATGGGGTGAGTGCTAAGTTAAGTTAGACATTGTCCCTGCTTCCAATGATTTACAGTCCAGAGGAGGAGATGGAAGTACACAGAAAGCATTTTTTAGAAAGTACTGATGAGAATAATCCAAATGGCCAAGAATATATCCTATACAAATGACAGAAAAGAGACAGATGACAGCAGTCTGGAAAAACTTTACAGGGAAGAGAACGTTTCCAGACATGTCCATGGCTATGATATTATGTATTTCTCTCAACATTTCCTTGCGATGGGATGAACAGTGATTATTTATCATCAATTTAAAAGTAAGGAAACTGGGCTGGGCATGCTGGCTCATGCCTGTAATCCTAGCACTTTGGGAGGCCAAGGTGGGAGGATCACTTGAGCCCAGAAGTTCAAGTCCAGCCTAGACAACATAGTGAGACTCCATCTCTAATTTTAAAAAGTAAGGAAACTGCAGCATAGAGAGATTCACGACTTACCCATGATTCTACAACTAGTCAGTAATGGACCCAGAATTTGAACCTAGGCTCTCTGCCTTCTATTTCTGTGTGTTTTCTAAGCCTTAAGCGAGGTATGGAGCAGACAGAGAATAACCACTGGAGGAGGTTTGCTAAGGCTGGATTGGGATGTGAAAGGAAACAGCCATAGAAGGGCTTAAATAACCCATATACAAAGATAAGCATCATAGTAGATTCCACAATGACTTTGAGATAATTTTTAGATGATCAGATGTTTTGAATTAGCTTCTCTTTTTGGATTATGCATGCCAGTGTTTCCTTCCATTTGTGTGGACAATTGAGAGATTACTACAGTGTTAGACCACATAAACAGGACAGGGTATGGCAGCCTGACTGTGACTCATGTTCAGGTGCCCCTGAACCTGCACCCCCTCATCCTGCTTCTGGAAGAATCTGTTTTCCCAACAGTATCATATCTGTGTCTGGCACTGCTCTTACACACGGTGCACTCGATCTCTCTCTCTCTCTCTCTCTCTCTCTCTCTCTCTCTCTGTCTCTCTCCTGCTTTCACTTTCTGTCACTCTTTCTCTCTGTCTTCCCCTCCCCTTGATATTCTCTCTTTGTGTTGGCCTGATTTTTCTCTCTGAACTCAGAGAATGCTCTTTTTAGAACTCGACTTCTAGAAGGTCAGGGATAGACCTCTATGTAGTCCAGTTTCAAAAGTCATTAGTTCAGTCTGTGCTCTTTCCCCATTTTCCTTTTCTGCCCTTTCTCCTCACCATTCTCCGGCCATTCCTGTGTCGGGGCTGGCCATTCTTGACGGTGGGACCAGCAGACCTCTTCAGCCAAGTGGCCAACTCAGGCAGCCAGTGTGACCAGCGCCATCTTGGTGTCCTGCTTCATGAGGCCATTCAGGTGCCCCGTCAGCTGGGTGAAGTGGCAGCCTTTGGGGGCAGCAACGTGGAACCCAGTGTCCGTAGTTGCTTCCGTTTTGTGAGTAGGGAACTGGGGAGCGGGGGAGGGAAGGGAGGTTGTAGGAAGGGTGGGAAGAAGGGAAGGACTACGAGCTAGGCTTTTGATCTGAAGTATGCAGATGCAAGGGAGTTTATTGGGATGGAACAACAAGGCAGAAGGTTCTGGGGGCTCTAGAATCATAGTCCTGTTGGGGAGGGTGCCAGCTCAACTAGCACAGGGCAGAAGGTGAACATCTCTGGAGAACAGGCCAACCCAGCCCCTGCTGGTTCTCCTGCCCCTCTGAGGGCTGCCATTCTAGGGATAAGACACTTTGGGCCTCAATCATTCCCATTGGTCTTCTTGTTTCCCTAGAGCACTGGGAAACCAGTCATTGAAGCATCCCAGTTCCTGGAGTGGGTCAACCTGGAGCCCCAGTCCATGGTGTGGTTGGCTGTTCTGCATCGGGTCACCATTGCTGAGCAAGTGAAGCATCAGACCAAGTGCTCTATCTGTAGGCAGTGCCCCATCAAGGGGTTCAGGTAGGGAAAACAATACCTGCTGAGATTATAATAATAAATATTTCATGTGACATATAACTCAGATATTATAAAATAAAGTGTTACCTAATTATTATATAATTATAGCTAGTGTATTATACATTATTATATACTGTTATAATCCTTTCTATTGCAGAATATTTAATTGTTTTAAATGGGAAGTGAGGAAATATTTCATTTTAGTTGTATTATAAAGTATTACAGACCTACAAAAATGTATAGAAGAACATAGGTGTAAGAGCACCTATGTACTAAATGGTATGCCAGCAAATGTTTCACAACTTACTCTCTAAAAAGAAAAAAGGAAGCCTGATCTGTAGCATTTGCTAAATTCTGTGGTGTATATACTCCCACTGTGAATGACGTCAGACTATTTACAGGAGGTCTCTGAGCAGAGTCAGAAAGAGACACTCAGTTGCACACCATTTCATAATATGTCTGCCATGCAGATATAATAGATGTAAGTAATCTCAAGAGCATAGACAGTAGCAAAGTAATTAGGAAGTAATGAGTTTTGAGTGTTTATTACCTTTGTTTGTAGTATAATTTATTTAATTGTGAGTTTATATAATTTAATAATGACTAGATTTGACAACTGGCTTAGAAAACCCCTGAAATTTTAACAGCCAGCTGTCGTGAGCTGGTATGAGCTGGCCTCAGCACACCACAGTATATACCCATGACCAACTTAAGGAATAAAACATTATTGCAATACATTTGAGGTCTCCTTGATTATATTCCCCTCTTCCCCCACAAAGGTAACCACTATCCTGGATTAGACTTTCATCATAAAACACTCAACTTTTTACCTTTGTAAAGCACTAACACACAACTCTCCCTACCATCACCCTGCTTTTCATAAGATGAACAAATGAGGCACACAGCTAATTAGTGGTAGATCTAGACTAGATATTGGATCGTATGACTCCTCTAAGTCTAGGCATTTCACTGTCCTATGCTACAAGGTTGGGCAGTTCAGCCAGGCTTTGGAAGTAGATCTGAAGGGCTATTCTGTATTCTGCAATAATAGGTATATTATTATGAACAACCTTTGGAAATAACTTTTAGCCAACTTAGCCAAGGCTGGTAGAAAGAACTGCCTTCATATTGGAAGTGTAATTTCTCCGGTGTAGGTGGTGGTCCCTGGGAGCCTTGACCTGTTTGAGCCATCCTTGTTTAGAAGGCCATTTGATATAATGAGATATTTACCCCCGCTTCCCTCCTGTCTCCCTTAAACAAAGGTGGTGAGAATGCTATTTCCCACACTTCCTGGGAATCTGGCCTTATGATTTCATAGGGATTCGTGGTCTGTAGAATAAAGTTGTTCATCTGTTGAGAACTCAGCCACTGCTATGTATATGCTGTTGGGCATGTTATGGCTCCATGCCTCATTCATCCCCTTCTACTGTGTGTGTATATTTTAGTGTTAGAGGAACAGCAGGGTGGTCACTGTGGCATATTGGACTCTCTTTACTACTACATCTCCTCTCCCCCAAGGTACCGGAGTCTGAAGCAATTCAACGTTGACATCTGCCAAACCTGCTTCTTGACAGGCAGGGCCAGCAAAGGCAATAAGCTGCACTACCCCATCATGGAGTATTACACACCGGTATGAAGCCTCCAGGCTGGGTGGGCGGGTTAGGCAGCTCTCAGGTACTAGACCTTGATCCACTTTGCCCAGCATTGGCTCATAGTTTTCTGCTCTCCTGTCGGGAGTATTCTCCAAGGAGCTCTGGTGATTCACCAGTTTGGGGGATTCAGGCCTCTCTATTCTTCCAGAAGAGCTTCTCCCTCACCAGGCCTGGCCACAGCTGGCCCAGGACACTCTCAGCCATTTTAAGGGCACTCACTGTTTTACTGCAGAGAAAAGTCTCAGGAAAAAACAAAACAAAACAGACAAAGACAGAGAGAGCAAGGCAGTTCCAGGTGATTTGCCTTCCATTGCTCACTTGAGTTTTTCCTGGCTAGCTTCCTATATTGCTTCTGTACTGGGTCACTCAGTCTTTCCCTGATGCTTTGTCATTATTTCTACCCCTTCTAGTCAGTACCAAAGCTTATGCTCAAATTAATTACTCAGTCCCTTGGAGGGAAAAAAGAAAGGTATGTCCTTTACCTGGACCCCTAAACTCCACTTAGTTTTCCCTGGTAACCGTGTCCTCCATATCTGCCTTAGCCCAGTTCGGTCAGCATCCCTGAACTCCAGCCACAGAGTTGCTCCTGTGCTGTGTTTAAAACCCACAGCTCCATGCTTAGCTTCCAGCACTGACTCTGCTCCCTACTCATCTTTATCCTTTTCTGTCCCTGCAAATGCTCCCAAAGCCCTGATCATATCCCCAGCTCCGACCACTGCTCTCTCTCCCCCATTCTCTCTCCTGTTTTTCAACCTGATGCCCCACAATCCATCTGTCCAAGCTTTCATCTCTTCAAATCCTGTTGGCACAGAAATGTGTGGCCTGGTGAGAACAGGGACCATGCCCTTTACTTTTCGTTTATTATCATTTTAAAGAAAACATTAGAAAAGTCATACCTGGAAAACTGGCTGGATCTGGTAGACTGATAATCCTCTACCACCTGCTCATCCTCTACATCCTTAGAATTCATAGAAATGTGTTTTAAAAATTAACAAACATATGCTCATTATAAAATATTCAAATCATATAAAAGTGTTTAAAGTATAAAACAAAGGTTGGATGCCGTGGCTCACACCTGTAATCCCAACACTTTGAGAGGCTGAGGTAGGAGGATTTCTTGAGCCCAGGAGTTCAAGACTGGCCTTGGTAACACAGTGAGATCCCTGTCTCTACAATTTTTTTTTTTTTTTTTTTTTTTTTGCTTTTAGAGGAACTGAGGCAACTAATTTTTTTTAAGTATAAAATGAAAGTCCTCCTATCTCCTCACCCTGGCCCCCACCCCTCCAGTTCACTTCCAGAGGCAACCAGTGTTGAGAGTTTGGCATATATCCTCCCAGACCTTCTTCTAGGAGCAGGGTATGGTGGGCATGAGCAAGAGTGGATTACCCAGCAGGCTGTCTACTCTAGCAGAACAGCCACACCTGCCCAGTATATCTGGAAGCCATTAGGGTAAGTTCCTGTGCCCTGTGTTCTCCTCAGACCACATCCAGTGAGAACATGAGGGACTTTGCCACAACCTTAAAGAACAAATTCCGCTCCAAGCATTATTTCAGCAAACACCCTCAACGAGGTTATCTGCCTGTGCAATCAGTGCTGGAGGCTGACTACAGTGAGACGTGAGTACCGGTGGCTGAGCAGGGGCTGTGGGCAGCCTCACTGAGCCCGATCGTAGGCTGTGAAGGGGCTGAGTCCCAGGTGGTCTAGGAGAATGTTCCAAGGTAAATCCCACTAGTGATAGGGCAGTTCAGCTTGGGCCTGACCTGAACTCTGGCCTGAGAAGTAGACTGGAATCCAATCTTTGTATTTTGTTCCCATCAGCTCTTGCCCATGTCCATAATGTAGGGAGCAGGAGAGGGAGGAGGAAACAGGCTGCCCAGTCTTTGGTCCTCCGAGTCTTTGCTGCTTTCTTCTAGGCCGGCTTCTTCCCCGATGTTGCCACATGCCGACACGCACTCCCGAATTGAGCATTTTGCCAGCAGGTACCACCAGGTTTGGGGGAGGTGGGTGGGAGCTATTGTAGGAAGTCCGAGGGGAAAGGATCTTCAGTCAGGACAAGGAGAATGGAGTCAGGGCCAGGGGATGTGCAGAGTGGGGTGTGCAGCAGCCAACAAGGCCCAATATTTAGGAGTAGTTGGGGTAGCTCTCAAAGCCAATGATCCTGTTGTGAGATTAGAGTCCTTGAGATGGAAGCAGGCCCCACATCCTGTTTTCTCTCCTGCCTCTGCTCTTTATTCCTAGGCTTGCTGAGATGGAAAGTCAAAATTGCTCCTTCTTTAATGACAGCCTGTCCCCAGATGACAGCATGTGAGTTTCCACAGCTGCTTATTTGCCAGAAATAGCTCTCCTTGAGATCTTTGTGCCACTGTTTGGGAAGGGTATATCCTCCAGGGAATGGGGGTGTGTGGTGGTTAGGATCCTTAGCTCCCTAAGGAAGGAAGGCTGCTTTCTGGGCATGATGTTCAGTAAGAAAGGCAGTCTTCCCTCTATCAATCGACCTAGGAAATGAGTGATGTACTAGCTCCCTGCCATCTTTCCAAGTCCCTTCCTGTTGCAAGATCCCATCCATCTATACACAACTTTGAGGAACGAATAGTATGCCCTCCCTCATCTGAAGTTTCAGAAAGGAACCATTATCTTGTGGTCAAGATGCCAAAGCCCTATCTAGTGCTACACTAACTCTAGGAGACATCAGGGACTTGGCTGAAGTATAACAAGGGAACTCCCTGGTATGACAGCCCAGAGAAGGGGACTTGTGTCTCTAGGGAGGTCCCCACCCTGCTCAGAGATCCTGGGAGCTGCTGGCTACATGGATCAATCTGCCCTGACTGGGACTCAGATCCCTCTAGAGGAAGAGGAAACAAAGGAGGTTAGAGTGGGGGAATAGCACAGAAAGGGAAATGATTTGATCATTGTTTCCCAGGGGGCTGTAAGTAGAACCCAGAAACCTGCATCCTGAAAACACTCTCTCAGTACCCCCAACCACAACCTCTGCCTCCTTTGAACACTTTCATCCCTCTCAAGTCTCAATATACGTCCTTTCCCTCTCGATGTGACTTAGAAGTGAATCCTCCAGCATGCATTTCCTGGGGCCTGAGCTGAGAGCTGAGAACTTACGCCCTGAGTTGTTTCTCTGTTCAACAACTGGCCACCTACTCTGCTTTCCCCATACCCACGCAGAGACGAGGACCAGTACCTGCTGCGGCACTCCAGCCCCATCACAGACCGGGAACCAGCCTTTGGACAGCAGGCTCCATGCAGTGTGGCCACAGAAAGCAAGGGGGAGCTACAGAAAATCCTGGCCCACTTGGAAGATGAAAACCGGTGGGCATGATGATAGCAGAAATCTGTGTGGGTTCTTGAGGCAGACAGATTGAATTTAAGTTCAGGCACTTCTACATCCTAGCTGTCTGACCTTGAGCAAGTTACTTAAATTCTGTAATCCTCTATTTCCTTATCTGTAAAATGGGGATGATGATCATCAAACCTGCCTCCTAGGATCACTTGTGAAGACCAAATGAGATCAGGCATATAATGTGTTTGGCTCAGTGCCTGGCTTATAGTAAGGGTTCACTAAATGCTAGCTATTATAATAATTATTTGAATCCTTTTATTTATTTATTTATTTATTTATTTATTTATTTATTTGAGACAGAGTCTCACTCTGTTGCCCAGACTGGAGTGCAGTGTCGTGATCTCGGCTCACTGCAACTTCCGGCTCCTGAGTTCAAACGATTCTCATGCGTCAGCCTCCCGAGTAACTGGGACTATAGGCATGCACCACCATGCCTGGCTAATTTTTGGTATTTTTAGTAGAGATGGGGTTTCACCATGTTGGCCAGGCTGGTCTTGAACTCCTGACCTCAAGTGATCCGCCCACCCCGGCCTCCCAAAGTGCTGGGATTACGGGCATGATCCACTGTGCCCAGCCTGAATCCTTTTAATGTAACCCAAATTTTTCCAAGAACACACGAGATGCAAGCAGAGAGAATGCAGAGAGAAAACAGGAGAGGGTATGACATGTTCCTGCTCTCAGAGACCTTTCAATGTTGGAAGTGGAAAGAAATATGTATCACCTAGTAAAAGTATTCCAGAGGACAATGACACTACATAGAGCATTTGAGGTCTGGAAGAAGGATGGTGAAGAAGAATACAGGGAAGGTATGACTTTCCATAAAGTAAAGGTGGCAGCAGGGACCTAAGACGGGTCCAAGCCACTTGTGGGGCATGAAGTGGAATTCATAGTACCCCTCAGAGCAGTGCTTTGCAAACAGTAGTGCATAAGATAGTCACTTGGGAAGCTTGGCAAAATACAAATTCTAAGTCACAGGTGTGGGTGGGGTCTGAGTTTCTGCATTTCTCACTAGCTCCCAGTGGATGCCCATGCTGCTGTTCCACAGACCACACTTGGAGTAGCAAGTCTTTAGAACAGTGCTACTCAGAGTGTGAAGAGCAGACCAGGGCCAGTTTGTGACCAGTTTGTCACCAGTCCAAGAGCAATTTGACATTGCTATGATATTCAAGCACAGAATTAGTAGACTCATCTCATTGAATAGGGTAGAGACCAGTTTGAGTGTTGTTGAACTTGTGTGATGAATTGCACGTGGTGTGAGCTATGTACTAGTCATGTGCATTGGGACCACATACGGGTCCATAACAGAGTGAAAAAAAAAAAAAAACCCCTGAATTTTTACCATGAATCATTTGAGAAACACTGCCTTTGAGCAGCAGTCCGCAGGCCCTGGGAAACACTGGGCAGAGAGTGACTGTTCTGTTGCAAATAAAGAAAAAATGAACAAAGCCAAAAGTGATATCCCCAAAAGTAGGCCACCTGTTTGGAATTTGTTTTTTGTTTTTGTTTTTGTTTTTTGTTTTTTTGATGACACAGCATGGGTGTTCAAAGTGGGCCAAAGAGGAGGGTTGTGGAGAGAAGAGACAACACAGGTGGTCTCTTGTTTATGTTATGTTTTCCCTTGGAATCTAAACATCTAAATATGGAGTAGGTGAGTCAGTGGCCCTAATGCCTCCTTTGTTTGCAGACTGTGTTTCTGCCTGATTTTAAGGTCAGAATTAATCCCTAAAGCAGCACATCAAAGCCCTGAGACATTTCTTATGCAAAATGTCAACTTTCTCTGCTCTGAGGTCTCAGGATGGCAGAGTAAATGACATACGTGCTGGAGAGGAAGTGGATGTGGCCATTCAAGCAAGAGCACAACTGGGGATGGGGGTGAGGTGGAGTGGAAGAGCACAGGGATTGTTCACACCTAGGCCTGAGGGGATATCTGAAACCTGGACAGTCAGAGCCCTGTTAGATCCATAGGTCTTGGTGTCTCTCTCCATGACAGGATTCTCCAGGGAGAGCTGAGGCGCCTGAAGTGGCAGCATGAGGAGGCTGCTGAGGCACCCACTCTGGCTGACGGCTCCACTGAGGCAGCACCAGACCATTGCAATGAAGAGCTTCTGGCTGAGGCCCGTATCCTTCGGCAACACAAGAGCCGCCTGGAGACGCGCATGCAGATCCTCGAAGATCACAACAAGCAGCTAGAGTCCCAGCTGCAGCGTCTGAGGGAGCTTCTCCTGCAGGTGAGGCTGGTGACAGGAAAAGAGCCAGGGCGGCCTCTGAGCCCAGGGGAAGGGCTGGGGAGCTGAGGGCTGTGGCAAAGAAGACACAAGAGAGAGCTCCTTGGCAGTGGCTCTCAAGTAGCTTCCTGAAGAGAACTGGGCCTGCGGTTGTTGGGGGGTGGGGGAAAGAAGAGACTGGTATGGTCACATCTCCAGCCAACTCTCTTCCACCTACCTTCCATGCCACCCTGTGTGTCACTCTCCAGTCACTGTGGGTCCTGGGGCAGAGAGAAGACTTCTGAGGGCTTATTTCTTCACAACCCATTGGAATCCCATACTAAAAGAACAAACTTCAAGAATCATCTAAAACATTGATTTTTGCTAGTATGGTATTTGCTAGAAAGAAGTGGGTTTGGACAAGTTTGGCAAGAGAAAGATTTGTGCTATCTAAGGGTGTTTCTTGTTCCTTTTTGCACCTTTCATCTCTGACAGGCAGTGTGTGTGCTGTGGTATAGCACTGGAGTCAGGCAGCTCTGGGTTTGCATGTGGCTCTGCCAATTGACTGTGGGCTGTTTGGACAGTTGGTTAACCACTCTAAGCCCCAGTTTCCTCATCTATACAACAGAGGTGGTAACAGTACCAACTTCATAGAATTGTGGTGAACACAAAAGGAGATAATGCGTTTAAGGAATTTAGCTTGATACCAGGCATCTAGTACACCCTTCATAAATGTTACCTATTATTGTCATCATATGTAATGGAAAATACCACTCTTCTGCCTCTTCCCCAGATCCTCCAAGGAATGGCCTCTATGGATTCCTGGAGGTTTCTAACATATGCTATGTCATGAACCAAGAATCAGGTGTGAAACTACATTTCCAGAGAGAATTGTGTTCTAAATAGCTTATTTATATCTGAAATGACAGCAAGAGACCTTTAGGTACAATGCCATTCTTTCTTTCTTTCTTTCTTTCTTTCTTTCTTTTTGAGACAGAGCTTCGTTCTTGTTGCCCAGGCTGGAGTGTAATGGCTCGATCTTGGCTCACCGCAACCTCCGCCTCCTGGGTTCAAGCGATTCTCCTGCCTCAGTCTCCCAAGTAGCTGGGATTATAGGCATGGGCCACCATGCCTGGCTAATTTTGTATTTTTAGTAGAGACGGGGTTTCTCCATGTTGGTTAAGCTGACCTCAGGTGATCCACCCGCCTTGGCCTCCCAAAGTGCTGGGATTACAGGTGTGAGCCACTGCGCCTGGCCTACAATGCCATTCTTACAAGAACTGGGAGCCTTTGACACATGTTGTTAAAGGAAGAAGGTATGAGTAATTCAATATTCTAAGAAGTTTCCGAAAAGTGGAGGCCACTGTTTTAGGTAATACCAAAAGCTTCTTAAAGTCTAAGGGCAAAGGGATGGTATGAAGTCTCTCAGGTCCCTTCTAAGCTCAGGAGTCTGTCAAAGTAAGGTCAGGAAGGCAAAGTGACTTAAGTCATGCGTTACCTCTTGCTAGCCACCCACCGAATCAGATGGCAGTGGCTCTGCAGGCTCGTCCCTAGCTTCCTCTCCACAGCAGTCAGAAGGCAGTCACCCCCGGGAGAAGGGACAGACAACTCCAGACACCGAGGCTGCAGGTGAGTTCCCCTGGCCCTTCCCAGCCCCTTTCTCCATGGCTTTGTCCTGTCCTCGATTTCCTGCCCAAGGCTTTGCAGGGCTGGGACTGGTTTCTCCTCTTGGCTTTGTGCTTAAGGTCAGGGAAGATTGATTTACTGATTGATTAATTCATATGCTTATTCTACAAATAAATGTACATTGAGCACAACCTATGTACTAGGCGTTGTGCTGAGAAGATGCAAATGCTGTGGGCAGGTCTGCCCTTCAGCTGGCAGAACTCTATCTGGCCGCTTGGCCTCATAAAGGAGTCTCTAGTTCTCTTCTCAAATCTCTATTTTTTTTAACCCAGATGATGTGGGGTCAAAGAGCCAGGATGTCAGCCTGTGCTTGGAGGACATCATGGAGAAACTCCGTCATGCCTTCCCCAGTGTGCGAAGTTCTGATGTGACTGCCAACACCCTGCTGGCCTCTTGATGGAGCCAGATCCCTATCCTATAGTTCATTGTCCTCTCCTGGTTCCGGTCAAAGCCTTTCCTCAGCCTTCATCCAACCTTTCCAGTTTCCGCTGGCCCCACATTCCTCAACTAGTATTATTTGGGCTCTGGGCAGCAGCAGGGATCTGGTGGTATGTGAGGTGGGTGCGGGCAGTGATGGGAGAAGGGGAGGCATGATTCCTCTGCCTCTAGAAATGTTCCCTTTAATCTTCAAGGTTGAGGTCAGTCCTTTAAGTACCTTTCTGTTGCAGCTCAGGCAAATATCACTTGGCCATTCAGATGGGGAACAGAGAAGCTGCCTTGCAGAGCTAAGCGGTACCCGTTGGCCCCTCTTCCTTCTCCGTGGAATTATGGAGAGAGAGAAGCCTAATTACCCCAAGGTTCCAACATTATGAATCCACAGGGTTTACCCGTACTCTCTGGCACAACTCAGGGAGGCAAAAGGGTATCCCCGAGACACCTTCCCTGCCCCAAGTGCCCCTGAAAAAGTCTGGGCAGTATGTGTTCTATTACTTCAGCTCCAGGACAGATCGTTAGCCATCCTAATGCTACCTAGGTACTGGCTTCTCCTCAAATATCTTCATATTCTTTAGCCTCAGTCCCTGACAGACCTTCCTTAAGGGGAGAGCAGTTCATTCTGGTTCTTCCACGTTATATTTGGAAGCATTACGTCTATACTTCCGGGTTTAGATTTTTTTTTTTTTTTTTTTTTTTATTTTAACCCACAGCTTCCTATTTCTTAAAGTGCTCAGCATTTTGATAGACCTACTGGTTTGCAAGTTGCTCTGGAAACCCGGCTGAAGCCACCCTTTGCTCCTCTGAGTCTGTACTCACAGACCTGGGAACACAGTGGCAGCTTGCTAAGCAAGGGAGTGTTGCTTTCCTTGGGTGAGGAAGAGGAAGCCCACCTCAAGTCTGGAGTAGTATGACTGCCATCCAACACCCTTCCAGGCTGTGACCCTTCTAGCTCTCAGGCTGAATCAGGTGAGGTGGCTGATTGTCCCCAGCTAATCATAAGGCATTTGCAGCTGGCCACCCTGTGTAGTGGCCCCTCCATAGGAGCCACAGGCCACAAATCAGGAAGCTGGCCGCTTTCCACCCAGACAACAGCAAGGCCTTCCTGTGCCTAAAATTGTTCTTTCTAACTCTAGAAGGTGAATCCAATCCTCAAACTGAACTAACTCTTCCTAGGCGACGTATACCATGATCTCTTTATCCAGAAACTGTTCAGAATAGATAGCAGGGGTGGGGGAGTGGGCTTGGGAATGTTGAATAGATTCAGAGCCCACTTAGACAGCTTTCTACCAAGAGGAGCTTTATAACCTAGAGCCCTGCAGTTGACTTCATTTGCCTAAGTTTATATACATACATATCTATTCTACATATCTACTGTACATCAGTGCTCTCCTGGCCTCACTCACACATTAAATTCTAATACCTCTTGAAGTATTAATGTTCTGCCTTGCTCTTTGTTAGCCCCAGCCTCTGGTTGGAAAGATAGATGTATCCTGGCTGCTCCCCTAGGATATCTCTCTCCATTGATGTTTGGGGTGGGCTGTCCTCAAGACCAAAGCAACAGAAACCCGTGGTCACAGAGAATCTAACAGGAAGAGTCACTGTTCTCTTCACTCATTCCAAATCTTGTTCCCTTGAGACCTGGACCTTGGGTAAATTTTCCTGGGCTCCCCTAAATGGTTCAGGTGCCAGAATAGAGCAAATCCAAGCTCTGCCCACCCCATGCAGAAAAGGACAAACAAGCCTTTATTAGCCTTTGCCAGCTAAGACGTAGAGAACATTCCAGCTCTTATGATCTCGCTCAGGGCTAAAGAAAGCAACAGTCGCCACCACAGTCAGGAGGGAGTGATGGTTGGGGTGTTGTATTATAATCCAGCAGTGGGCCAGTGGGTAGAACTGCTAGGAACCTAGTTTGATCTGCCACAGGGGAGGCAGGGCAGCGGCTTGGGTCCAGAAGGTTTCGGTTGCCTCCTCCACCACAAAGCCACAGGTCCGGGGTGTCAGACTTCACAGCATAACATCTGCCTTAGTGTTCATGAGGTCTCTGGGCAGAAGAACTGGGTATCTGGATAGATGGTGAGCAGGTGGTAGGCAGGCATCAATCATAGAATCTGGGCATCAGTCAGAGTGGGAGCATATTTGTAGGAACTTAGATTGTGGGCAGGAATGTGGGACAGAGGGCTCGAGGACTTAGAGGCATATACCTGCCTAAGCCTTAGGTGGGTACATGTTATGGAGCAATTTTTTACCAGGAAAGTCCTGGAAAATCCTTTGTTATCCCCACCCCACCTGAGAGCTCTTGGGCTGCTGAGGGCCTGTGGCAACTGCAGTGGGCCAGGCATGGTAGAAAAGATGTAGATCTTGTTATGTAGGGTTTGTGTTGTAGGTGGACTGAAGCAGCAGGTCAGGAGTTGAATTCTCACTAAGGGGTCACTCACACTTTGTGGTCCTGTGTTTACCTTAATGCCTAAGGTGAGTATATTGTTCAAGGGTCAAGGGACAGTCACTGCAGTATGTGTGGGGAATTTTCCCACAGTAGAGTAAATGGATCCTTGGGTACTATGAATCCAACTTGGGATTGGATTTACCAAAATGTATTGTATGTCGTTAGACATCTTGTTGTGTATTAGTCTCCTAAGGGTGTTGTGCATGGCACTGTGTAGTTTCTAGCCCTACACTAGAAGGATGGTGAAGGGAGTTGCTAGGTTGGTAGCCTAAAGAAAACCTTCTGACTGTGGGATTAGCATCAATGATAAGGTATGTGAGCATTTGCTGGGGTTATTGTCAAATAGTATCAAAGAACAGTTAGGACTGAGAGGTGATTTCTTCTTGACAGAATTTGATAGAGGCCAAAAAGCCATTATGAGGATACCTCTGCTTCCAGTGACAGCATAGTGGATTCACATTGATTGGGCATTGTCATGGAAGGCTGACTAGCTGGAAGACATCAGGCTGTGCTATGCTTCCCTAGAGAGGACATGTACCCTTCCCTCCAGATTAGAAAGGCTAGAATCAAGACTCTCAAGTGCCCATTTTCTTCAAGGCCCAAAGTTGTGAAATATTTCCCTACAGAGAAATCTGTTTGAGTTTCTGGTGCTCCAGGAAATGGGTTGGCAAGACACAGAAATGAGAAAACCTGAGGCCAGGAAGAGGCCAATCCTAGGAGATGTTTTTCCTCCGGATTCATTTTAAGGAATACCTGTGCTTCCTGATGTGTGTGCTTAAGATTTGGGCTCCATATCCAGCATTTGAACTCACATTCTCAACGGCAGAGTCATGGCCTGTGGCATCATTTCAAGGCCAAAAATCCCATCCAATTTCTCTTCACATAGGTGACAGATAAGCAAGAAAGTAGCTATCTTAACTCGAGCAGTTCTGGGAAAAAAACTGGGGGCCTTATCCTGGGGATGTGGAGACTTAATTCTTCAGCTGTGTGGCTCCCGTGGGAACAAGGAACACTTTAGCTACTTCTTACTCTTTTAACACCAACTGCTGTGGGAGAAAGAAAGGCTCAAGGCCAGGGCTCAGCTCGCAGAGTCCATCTTCTCCCACAGCTGCCACATTTGAGAGGGGGCCTGCTGAATGCCCTTGCTGTCCTCTATGGCAGTGTTGAGGCCTGACCGAAGTCTGCTATGCTGCTTGCTGACTGCAAGAACTGGTCACAGGATGAAAATTGGGGAAAGGATTTGGGGGAGGTGACAAGGGTGGCATGGAAGTCTAGGGGACAAAGGGACAGGGTTGGGAACAAATTGGTTAACTTTGATTGCCACTCACTGTGGTGCCTTCCCCCTTTCCCTTGAATTCTGCTTTGAAAAGAATAAATTTGTACTTGTTTACTTTGGTTCCTCTGGTTATACTCTTTGAGTCCGATATTTCATATCTTTCCCTTATTTAGGGGTGGGAAGAGAGGGTAGACCAAGAAGCCACAGAAGTACTGTAAAACATAAGGCCACCAGATGAGTCCAACACCTATGGGACACAAAAAGACCTCCCCATTGGGCCCATCTGCCACTGTTACCCGGATTAGTCACTTCTCAACATCCTCCCAACCCTCCCCAAATTAGCTAGTTAGCGCCTTATGAGATGAGCTGTATGTAGCAATGGTTTCCAAATTTCATCCTCCTCAGTCTGAGGATTTTTCACCAGCCCGAAGCATTGTAAGAAAAGTCAGGACAATGCATTGAGTTTTTGTAAAATTATATTTATTCAGTTTAAAGGTCTACCTTTTATTCTGAGATTACGGATATATATACACACACACACTATATATATATATATTTTTATAACATATATAAATATGTATATATAACATATATGTGTGTGTGTGTGTGTGTGTATATATATCCTGTCAATAAGTAAAACCCTGTCAGTCCCTCTTTTCTTTTCTTTTTCTTTCTTTTTTTTTTTTGAGACGGAATCTCACTCTGTCACCCAGGCTAGAGTGCAGTTGCGCAATCGGCTCACTGCAACCTCTGCCTGACGGGTTCAAGCAATTCTCCTGCCTCAGCCTCTCACCAAACTATAGCAACACTGTCCAGTATAAAATAATGCAAGCCACATATGTAATTTTAAATTTTACAGCAGCCATATTACAAAAATAAAAATAAATAGATGGAATTAATTTTAATAATTAACCCAATATATCCACAATATTACCCTTTCAACATGTAATCAGTATAAAACAATTATTAATGAGATTTAAAAAATATATATATATTTACTTATATTTACTTTTTTGAGGTGGAGTCTCGCTCTGTCACCCAGGCTGGAGTGCAGTGGCACGATCTCTGCTCACTGCAAGCTCTGCCTCCCAGGTTCATGCCATTCTCCTGCCTCAGCCTCCAGAGTGGCTGGGACTACAGGTGCCCACCACCATGCCCGGCTAATTTTTTGTATTTTTAGTAGAGATGGGGTTTCACCGTGTTAGCCAGGATGGTCTCAATCTCCTGACCTCGTGATCTGCCCGCCTCGGCCTCCCAAAGTACTGGGATTACAGGCGTGAGCCACCGAGCCCAGCTAAAATATATTTTTAACTAAGTCTTTGGAAATATCAAGCAAGCTGACACATTCAGCTGGGGGAAACACACACACACACACACACACACACACACACAAGATCCAGACAGATCCAGACAGTTTATTCCTTATAGAGATAGCAAAAGCAAGATCAGCAATGGTATCAGCTCCCTGCATCCCTCGTCCCACAGAACAATGTAACAGGACAACAAAAGGGGCTAGATGACAGGCAGCATGAATGGTAGGACCCCCTGGTACTGCGTAGCCAATGCCACACTGCAGCTAAGCAGATTTATGGGCTGCAGCTGTACCCTCTGGAGTGTGAAGCAGGCAGAAAGCCCTATACTTAACTGGAATGAGGGAGGCAGGTGACAAGCTGCCTCATGGCAACCTCCCTTAAGACAGGGAGATGACTGAGAAACGCTCTTGTAGCAAATTCTCACAAGACTGCCTGTCTTCCTGTGTTCCGGGAGGATCACAGGGTGTTATGCCAGGACCTGAGTCAGCCTGCAGTTGAGCCTGGCCTGTGTGGCCTATGTGGATAGTGTAAGGTCATCAGGATGTGGGCACAGAGGAGTTCCTTTATAGAAATCCAGTGTTTATTTTACACCTACTACACATCTTAACTCAGGCTAGTCGTGTGGTGCTCAAAAACCACATGTGCCTAGTGGATGTCATATTGGACAGCACAAGTCTGTAGCATACAGAAGCCAAAATCACTGAGCTATAGCAAAGGAAAACTTTCTGAGGTGTCCGAGTGAATGTGTGCAGGCGTACGTTGGAGTGGGGTGGAAAGTCAGAACGGCAATAGCCTTGGGTGACTGGAGGGCAGTGGTGAAGCAGCCCCGCTGGGTTACATTGAGAAGTGGTAGCAGAGGAGATGGAGGGGCATTGCAAACACACTAGTTTGCCCTTGCCCCTTCCTGTTGTGTTGTCTTCCCTACCATCCTGCCTCTCAGCAGAGCACTGGTTGTTCTCAGGCTGCAATATCAGACAGAGGCTGTACGAGGGCTCTTCTACCTCTTTCACTCCTGGATGCCCGCTGTGGCACATGTGAAACACTCACTGGCTTGTCTCTCCAGCATAACCCCAGGGTACTTTCTATCAGTCCCCTGCCTGCCTTTATCTGGAAAGGCCTATCATCTTTTCAAACTCTGCCTCTTCCCCCACCTTCTACCTCTGACACTCAACTTCTTTTCCTCGTTCTTTCTCCTTATTCTCATCTTTTAAGTTATGGGTTTCTGAAAAAAAAAAAACCTATCTTTTTAAAATATCATCTTGGTTTTCAAGCAATCCCCAAACTTCTCTCCTAATCTGGGCTCCATTTTGTTTGCCTTTAACATGCCTATCTCCCTTAGTCTTACTTTTTCCCTTGCATTTCCCCCAGCATTCCTGCCATCTCCATCCCAACTTCACAGGCCCTGCTCATACATGACCTCTCCTTTGCCCATGGGTTAACTTTGACTTGGAGTAGCACTAAAAGTGGCACAGAGAACTTGGAGTATATTTCCTAAAGCAGCACTGACTTTGTCAGTTGGGATCAGACCTGGGGCTAGGTGGGCTACTTCCAGAAAACCCCCAGATGCTTCTTGGTGGTAAGCATTATCACCCACAATTTACAATGAGAAAATAGAGGCTCTAAGAAGCATAGGGGCGGCCAGGCGTGATGGCTTATGCCTGTAATCCCAGCACTTTGGGAGGCCAAGGCAGGTGGATCACCTGAGGTCAGGAGTTCGAGACCAGCCTGGCCAACATAGTGAAACCCCGTCTCTACTAAAAATACAAAAATTAGCCAGGTGTGGTGGCAGGTGCCTGTAATTCTTGCTACTCGGGAGGCTGAAGCAGGAGAATCACTTGAACCCGGGAGGCGGAGGTTGCAGTGAGCCAAAATCGTGCCACTGCACTACAGCCTGGGCGATAGAGCAAGACTCCATCTCAAAACAAAATAAAACAAAATAAAACAAAACATAGGGGCTTGCCCAAGGCAAGTTCCGTCCTTGTGTGAGTTCCACTACAGCATGGTAATTCAACCCAAATATTGGAGCTGCCATTTGTATCACTTCTCTATACCCTCCCCCGCTACATATTAACCATATAGCATTGGGATTTGGAGCAAATCTTCTCACCTTAACCATATAGCATTGGAATTTGATTTGTTTAATTCATTAGGAGTTGCCCTAAGAACTCTGGAAGGATGCCCCAAGGCTGATAACATCTTCTGCCATTTTCTAATCAGAGTGCTATGGTCTGAATGTGTCTGCCAAAATTCATATGTTAAGATATAATCAGTAGTGTGTTAGTATTAAGAGGTAGGGCTTTTGGGAGGTGATTAGGTAATGAGGGCTCCACCCTTATGAATGGAATTCATGCCCTTTTAAAAGAGGCCCGAGGGAGTTTGCACTGCCGCCGTGTGAGGATGCACCCCGAAGACGCTATCTAGGAAGCAGACAAACCCCTCACGAGATGTCAAAGCTGCTGGCACCTTGATCGTAGACTTCCAAGCCTCCAGAGCTATAAGCAATAAATTTCTGTTGTTTATAATTTACCCAGTCTATGGTATTTTTGTTACAGCAGCCCAAATGAACTAAGATATAGAGCTTATTGCTTTTCTTCTTGTTTCCTTTTGGATATGAGTACACTCATCATCGGGGATGGTTTAATAAATTGACAGCAATCCATTTAAAAGGAACAATTTATTTATTGTTTAAAGAACACAGACCATAAAACACTAATAATATACCTAGAAAAAGACCCAAATGAGATTGTTAAAGAAGTCTTCATAGGCATTATGGCATCTTGTTCTTCCTAACCTTAACTGATGGGGGTTAGGAGGAGAAGGCTCAGAATAAGGGTTAGGAGGAGAAGGCTCAGAATAAGGATAACAGTTCATAATTTCTTCATCTCTGCTCTAACTGTTCCCTTAGTTGGTGAATAACAACCAGCTCCATCCTAGAAGCAACAGAACAAATATAAGCAGCAGCAAGAAATCATCCTTGAGCAGGAATGCAGCCCTGTTGCCTGAACAAAGACAGAACACAATCTAGTATTAACTGCTGCAAGGTAGGCACTTAAACTCACTGTGGCAGGTTCTAGTGTTTAGTAGAAATGACCTCCTTTTTTCCCCTATGTTTTAGGAAATACTAAAAACCAAAAGAAAAGCTAAAACATATGCAAACCAAACAGCTGTATGGCCTCTAGACTAGACTGCCTTTGGAAGCATGACTGAATCATCTGCTGGTACCATAGCACAGAAGCAATATAATCAATTCTTGTTTGGTGTGGTGGTGCACACCTGTAGTCCCAGCTACTCAGGAGGCTGAGGCAGGAGGATCCCTTAAGCCCAGGAGTCTGAATTCGGCCTGGGCAACCTAACAAGACCCCATTTCTAAATTAATAATAATAATTCCCAAATTGACAAAGAGAAAGTCTCATGGTCGTGTGGGGTATCTAAGTCTACTATATTTTTATACTGGCCTTTTCTACATGACTACAAACTTTGAGCATATTATAAGTAGCAAAGAAGGTACAGATAAATATAACTGATTCAACATAAGGCAACGGAAGGGAGAGAAACATGCACAGTTTCATCCAGTCTTCAGTCTGGATGGTGGATCCAAGGTTTGTGTGCCAGGCCAATGGCTCTCCTCACTTCTTCAGAAAACGCTGCAATTGTTCCTGTAGGGAAATGAGCTGTAGGGAGAAGTAGAAAGACATGAAAAATTAATTTGAAATCTGAAGTCCCATTACTTGATCTAGAATTTACTTACATGAACCAAAAAGAACTACTGTTATTTGGCATTTATAAGGTTATCTTAGTCTTGCAATGTTCCAGAGAATACTGGCCACAGTCAAGAATGCATGCATAATGCTGTGGCCATGATGATGTCCTTTATTATGCCCAATTTATGAAGGGAAGCTTTGTATTAGTCAGTTTTCATGCTGCTGATAAAGATATACCTGAGTTTGGCAAGAAAAAGAGGTTTAATGGACTTACATAGTTCCACATGGTTGGAGGCCTCATAGTCATGGTGGAAGGCAAGGAGGAGTAAGTCATGTCTTACATGGATGGCAGCAGGCAGAGAGGAGAGCTTATGCAGGTAAACTCCCCTTTTTAAAACCATCAGATCTCGTGAGACTTATTCACTATCACAAGAACAGCATAGGAAAGACCTGCTCCCATGATTCAATTACCTCCCACTGGGTACCTCCCACAACCTGTGGGAATTAAAGATGACATTTGGGTGGGGACACAGACAAACTATATCAAGCTTTAAAATTGAATAGGCTTTAAAAAATGTGTTTGCTATTAAGAATTTGTGCTTCTGTGAAGAATATACAGAGGTCACAGCTCACTGTAGGGGCAAAGGAGATGGGATCTCTGTAACCATATTCTAAGAGTCAGATGGTAAAACAGTTGGGACACTCTCTTGTCCCAATGAACACAACGGGTCTTAGACTGAGTCTTACCGGCTGCTTCTTACCACATTAGGAGATACTTAGAAACTTAGTCAGTCCTGACCCATCAGGAGCCTGATGGTGTTCTACTTTTGCTTTCTAAGTTAGAAGCCTTGAATATTTTGTGGTACAGGATTTAATTTTTTTAACTTGAAATGGTGAAGTGACCAATAACATTCACAGATGTATGCCATCTTTATAACAAAGGTTGTTTTTGAATATTATTCATTTCAGGACACTCCATACCAGAATTAATTTTTAGTTTGTGAAATGAAAGGAACATTATAAAACAATCCTATGCTGCACATCACCTACCAAGCCACAATAATTGCTATCTGCAGTAACTTAGAGGCTCTTCTCACTCGGTTGCTGAGTGACCCCTGATTGACCATGATTACAACCAGTGACTGCTCCAGTTCTTTCTCCTTTGCAGGCTCTTTCTCTTCCCGCCACTCCCTAAAGATAGGTTTTTCCTTAGATTCAGACTTCTTGCTGAACAGTCAACCAGGCTAACTCAACTAGCCCCACAGTTTCAATGATCATTTCTGTGTGTGGGCCTCTCTCCAATTTCCCATTTTCAAAAGCACTTCTCCACATATCCCTCCAAATCCACTTCTTGTTATCCTATTTTCAGTTAATGGCACATCATTTCCCGGTTGCCCAGGCTTTGGACTCATCTTTGTTCCCCTTTTTGCCCTGTAAATCCAATCAATTGTTAAGTTCTGTATGCTTCTACCACTTGCACCTTTGAAGCTCCAGGCTGTCCCTACTCCAGTTTCTCCTATATACTTCTGGCAGAAAAATCTTCCTGAGTTACTCCCCAGGTAAAAAAGCTTTGAAGGCTCATTATGACCTACACCAAAAATCTAAACTGTTCACCCTGGCATCACCACCTCTGAGCCAGTGTGCATGCTGCTTTCTCATGGAATGTACTCTTTTCCCTATCTCCTTATTAAAACCCTACCTATATTTTAAGGCCCCAGTCAAATATCATCTTCTCCATGAAGCCTTCCTTAATATCCATGGACAATCTCTCATGCCTTTAAGTCCCTACCCCTCTTGTCAATTTCTCCCCAAATGAAGGCACAAACTGCATCATAAGCATATCATAGCTCCCTGCAGAGCGTAGCTTAAAGTAGACACCTACTAAATCTAATTTGGATAAATGAACTAACATAAGGGACTCTGAGTAAATAAAATTTACAGCTACATTTCTAGGCTGCTCCTCAATACTAACTATAGTCATGTGTTACTTAACAATGGGGATATGTTCTAAGAAATGCACCCTTAGGCAATTTTGTCATGATGTGAATATGACAGAGCATACTTATACCAACCCTAGATAGTATAGCTTACTACACACCTAGGCTACACAGTATAGTCTATTGCTCCTAGGTTACAAACCTGTACAGCATATTACTGTACTGAATACTGTAGGCAATTGTAGCACAATGTTAAGTATTTGTATATCTAAACATAGAAACATAGGTAAACTAAAAATGCAATATAAAAAATTAAAAATGGTACACTTGTATAGGGCACTTACTATGAATGGAGTTTGTAGGACTAGAAGTTGCTCTGGGTGAGTCAGTGAGTGAGTGGTGAGTGAATGTGAAGGCCTAGGACATTACCGTGCACTACTGAAGACTATATAAACACTATAAACTTAGGCTATACTAAAAAATTTAAAAATTAAGTAATTGGGCAGTTATGTTATGATGGCTATAATGTCACCAGGTGACAGGAATTTTTTAGCTCCATTAAAATCTTATGGGACCACCATCATATATGCAGTCTGTCATTGGGCAAAATGTTGTTATGCAGCATACAACTGTACTTACATTGATGAAAACAAAGATGTTTGGTGGGTACTAAAACAACCCTGGCATTAACTGTTCATCTGATTGTTTTAAAGCAGTACTTGGATAAGTGATTTGCTGAGAGGAAGGGAATATATAGAACATAAAAATTCCGCTGGTCTTGTGGGGATGGGGGTGGGGAGTAGTGCCTGTACTTTAAGAGCACCATGCTAAGCCCATCCTCATAATACCAACTCCAGTCTCCTTAAAATTGTAACCCTCAACAGTATAAGGTTAGAGTCCGCACACATTTTCTATACAGCTACTTGACCCTCATTTAGCCTATATTGCCTTCTTCTCTCTTCACCCTGTACACTCTCTTGTGGCTTTGAAAAAATATAGTTGTCATTCAAGTTAGAAATCTGGCATACATCCTTAATGATTCCTTCTCCTTCAACACCCAGTAATTGACCCAACTCCTATCAATTCTACCTTTAAAATATATTCTCTAATATATCAATATTCATTGTAGCATTATTCATAATAGCCAAAAGTGAAAGCAACCCAAATGTCCATCAGCAGATGAATGAATAAACAAAATGTGGTATATTGATCCAATGGAGTATTAGTCAATCTTAAATGGAAAAAAGTACTGAGACATGCCATAACATGGATGAACCCTGAAAATATGCTAAGTGAGAGAAGCTCGACTCAAAAGACCATGTATTGTATTATTTCACTTGTATGAAATAACTAGAAGAGGCAGTAGATTAGTACAAAGTAGATGAGTGGTTGCCTAGTGCTGGGCGGGGGAGAGGTTCTGGAGAAATGGGGAGGGGAGTGACTACTAATGGATACAAGGTTTCTTTTTGGAGTGATGAAACTATTCTAAAATTGACTGCAGTGATGGTTGTACAACTCTGAATATACTAAAAGCCACTGAATTGTATACTTTAAATGGGTAACTTGTGGAGCGGGGGGAGGACGGGGTTTGAAGCAGTCTCACTCTGTCACCCAGGCTGGAGTGCAGTGGTGGGATCTCTGCTCACTGCAACCTCTGCCTCCCAGGCTCAAGCAATCCTCCCACCTCAGCCTCCCGAGTAGCTGGGACTACAGGCACACACCACCATGCCTGGCTAATTTTTGGAGAGACAGGGTTTCACCATGTTGCTCAGGCTGGTCTCGAACTCCTGGGCTGAAGCCATCTGCCCACTTTGGCCTCCCAAAGTGCTAGGATTACAGGCATGCACCATTGCACCCAGCCTAAATGGGTGAATTGTATGGTTTATGAATTACATCTCAAACAGTTATAAAAACATTTTTACTGCAGTTTAAAATTAATCTATATTCTCTCAATCTCCATTGCTACTACCTTAGTCCAAGTTACCATCCTCTGTTATTAGCGTACCACAAAGCCTCCCAACCAGCCTCTTTGCTTCCACTCTCACCTTCCAACCCAGTCTCCAGATAATAATCAGAGTAATCTTTTAAAAGTTTAAATTAGGCCAGACGTGATGGCTCATGCCTGTAATCCCAGCATTTTGGGAGGCTGAGGCAGGTGGATCACGAGTTCAGGAGGTCAAGACCATCCTAGCTAACACGGTGAAACCCCATCTCTACTGAAAATACAAAAAATTAGCCAGGCATGGTGGCACGTGCCTGTAGTCCCAGCTACTCGGGAGGCTGAGGCAGGAGAATCGCTTGAACCCGAGAGGCAGAGGTTGCAGTGAGCCTAGATTGCGCCACTGCACTCCAGCCTGGGCAACACAGCAAGACTCCATTTCAAAAAAAAAAAAAAATTTAAATTAGATGTGATTTTCCTATCTAAAATTCTTCAAGGGCTTCCCACTACACTTAAGGCCAAACCCATCCTCCTTATCATGGCCTTTAAGGAACCATACACTATGGTCTCTGCCTACTTCTCCACCCTTATGTTAAGCCATTCTCTTCCTGGCTTTAAATACTCCAAAGGTCCTCAAAGAGGCCAAGTTCTTTCCGAACATGAGACCTTGCATATGCTCCACCTAAGATGCTCTTCATCCCACTCTTTGCCTGGACTTAATCCTTCTGGTCTCAGCTTCAATAGCACCTCCTAGGAGAGGTCTATCGTGATCCCCCAATTAATTCAAGACTCTCTTTATTCTAATAGCACCATTGACTTTTTTCCTTCATAGCACTTCTTCACAATTTGTACCTTTATATTTGTATAATTTGTTTACTGTCAATCTCCCCTGCTAGACAGCTCCATGAGGACAAGTACAGCAGGTCCTCGAATAACATCGTTTTGTTCAGTGTCGTTTTGTTACAGTAAGTCCTCACTTAATGTCAACAGGTTCTTAGAAACTGCAATTTTAAGCAAAATGACATGCAGAAAGTCTCCAAATAACATCGTTAGTTCAATGTAATTTCATTATAATGTTTTTTTTCTTTTTCTTTTTCTTTCTTTTTTTTTTTTTTTTTTTGAGACAGGGTCTCACTTTGTTGCCCAACCTGGAGTGTAGTGGCGTGATCATGGCTCACTGCAGCCTCAACCTCCTGGGCTTAGTGTCCCGAGTAGCTGAGACTATAGGCTTATGCCACCACAACTGGCTAATTTTTTGTACAGTCGGGGTTTCACCATGTTGCTCAGATTGGTCTCAAACTCCTGACCTCAAGCGATCCGCTGGCCTCAGCCTCCCAAAATGCTGGGGTTACAGGCATGAGCCACCATGCCTGGCCTCATTATAATGTTGATGAGAAAAACAAAATCACTTCCCCGTACACATTAGGTGAATTGGTCTGTCTGAACTGTCCCAGTCTGAGTGAGAGTGGGTGTGAGCGTGCCCTGCAATGGGATGCCATCCTATCCAGGGCTGGCTCCCACCTTGCGCCCTGAGCTGCTGGGATAGGCTCTGGCCATCTGAGACCCTGAACTGGAATCACTGGGTACATAATTGTCTTACTTGTTTTTATCAGTCTTTCTCAAATGTATGTATAGCTCACATTTATTTCAATGTTTAATATTAGAAGTGTTTTGGTTTTTATTTAGAAGTTTGGTGATGTTTTTGTAACCAGAAATATGCTATAGGAACTCAATTCTTCTTTATATCAGTCAGCCTATAGTAAAATTAGTTTCATTATATATACTTCATTTTGCTTAAAGTTACAGTTTCCAAGAACCTATCAATGACACTGAGGATTTACTGTATTATATTTATCTTATTCAACACTGTACATCCAGTGCCTTTTACTTCATAGGCACTCAATATCTGTTGAATGAGTGAATGTTCACAAAGACCTTGTTCCACCCTGCTACCTTCATTTAGAAGATTTGGCTACCACTATTCCTATGAGAGGAACAGCCAGCAATAATATTGGAAGTGAGCTGGGGGATTCTCTGTATCAAATGTTTTCTGGTTAATTTGAAAATATACTTCTTACCTTCTCATTTTTTTTTTTCTCCTGTATCTCAAGCTGCTCCAGCACAGAGTGAAAATGATTCTGAAAAATAAATTGTATAAATGATGAACACTGAGTCTCAAAGGAAAAAAAAAACCTAGGGAGGCAAGGAGTTTGGCAAATAATTGTTTTTGTTTTTGTTTTTGAGGTGGAATCTTCCTCCATCACCCAGGCTGGAGTGCAGTGGCGCAATCTTGGCTCACGCAACCTCCGCCTCCCAGGTTCAAGTGATTCTCATGTCTCAGCCTCCTGAGTAGCTGGGATTACAGGAGCATGCCACCACGCCTGGCCAATTTTTGTATTTTTAGTAGAGATGAGGTTTCACTGTGTTGCCCAGGCTGGTCTCAAACTCCTTGTCTCAAGTGATCCACCTGCCTCTGCTCGCAAAATGCTGGGATTACAGGCGTGAGCCACTGCGCCCAGCCGCAAATAATAAACTGTCATACAAAAGAGCACTCTTTTTAAAGGATTTAGAGTATAAAAACTATCCCCCCTAACTACAGTACCATCCAATTTGATTTTATATACACTCTATAGCATTTTTTTTTTTGTCTTACCCTAAGTGATTGGAATGCCCTTATGTTACCTTTTTCTAGTTTAGCACAAATCCTTTGTCTGTGGTGACCTGTTAGAAAAGCTGGCTTAGAATCTGGTGCTGATGACTCCTCCATTCCCCTAACTAGGGCAGAGTATCACTATTCCTAACTAGTACTACATGTAACAATAATCACAACAATAGCATATATCTGTATCTTTCAAAATGTGCCCTTATCTGTTATCTTACTTGGTTATTCTAAGGGACAACACCCAAAAAGGGTATAGTTCTGTGCTCCCATTTGCTGAATACAGCTCTGAAGAAAATGAAATCTGGCAGGAAATTCCAAATGCTTCAGAACTTCCCTCACTAAAAAAGGGAAGCAAACATGACCTAAACATACATTTTCTTTTTGTTGAAGCTCTTCAACATATATTAATAAAATATTTATTCTTGTTCAAAATGCACCAAAAATTTAAAAACTAATTATTTCTCCTTTTTACTGCAATGGATACATTTTAATACAAATAACAGGATTCAATCTATGCCCTACCATTTACTGTGATCCCTGGCAAGTTACTTAACCTCTTTGAGTTTCCATTCTTTATCTATAAAATGGGAGTGGTGACAGTATTTATGTTTCAAGGATGTGAGGATAAAATGTGATAATATGTGTACACAATTCTTAGCTCTTTATGTGCCTTTTACATAGCAAATGCTCAATAATGGCATTTTTTATCTCAAATCACCTAGTCCCTTCCCCAAAATGCTTATATTAGATGATCAAAATTACTCAGGTAAAAGGAAACAGGGTTATCTTTTATTAGGAGTTTCTAAGAGGCTGTTAAGGTTCCTGAATGAACAAGAACCCTGCATAGAGATGACATAAGTGGAAACACAAAGGCAAGATACTGAAAGTAAGAGATCAGGATTTCTTTATGCCAGCCAAGAATTTACCTTGAGTGTCAGGTTTTCCACTTTCATGATGAGATCCTTCTGTCTTTGTGCTTTATTCTGAATCTCATGGAGCTTTTTCTCCTTTTTATCAATCTGCTTCTGAATTTCCATGACTAACAGAGATACACAGAACTTATATATTAAATATAGCCTAAATGAATGGACCAAGATCCAAATCAAGTAAAACTCCACTACACATCTGAGCAATAACTTCTTGAGCTTAGCTTTGGGTCTAATGTATGCTTAGAGTCAGCCTTTAGCACTGCCACCCACCCTGGTCCCATCCCTTTGTTTTTTCTCTGACTTACCTATTGAACTGGTACCTTCATTTGCCCTATACTGGCCAGATTCAATAAACTTGGCCTGAAGCTGCCTTTCCAGATACTCTTCAGAATAATCTTCCTCCTCTTCTTCTTCGTCTTCATCTTCATCCTCATCCTCATCCTCATCCTCATCCTCATCTTCATCATCCTCATCCTCATCATCATCATTGTTACTTCTAGAATCACTGAACATCTCCCGAAGCATATCATATTCTACTGGTTTTAAGCAAGAAGAAGGTGAACTATCTAAAACTCTGCAAATGACTCATACTCCAGATAAAATTATACTCCTTACTTTCACATTCCCCAGGCAACCAGTAAATTTTATAAATCATTTTTTTCATGCAGGAAGATTATTCCCTTTGTAAAACAAGGACAGCAAGTGCAAAACACTGTAACATTCATTCATGTAGTGAGTGATCAAGACATTTAAAGACTTTAAGGGTCATAGGAAGTTAAGATACCAGCAGTGGATGGGAGATTAGAACACGAATCTAAAACCCCTAAACTGCCAAGGGACCAATAAGAGGGAAGAAGGGCTGGGTGTGGTGGCTCGCGCCTGTAATCCCAGCACTTTGGGAGGCCAATGCGGGCAGATCACTTGAGGCCAGGAGTTGGAGACCAGCCTGGCCAACGTGGCAAAACCCCATCTCTAAAAAAAAAAAAAAAAAAAAAAGAAAGAAACGAAAAAAAGAAAAAATAGCTGGGTGTGGTGGTACATGCCTGTAATCCCAGCTACTTGGGAGGCTGAGGCACAAGAATTACTTGAACCTGGGAGGCGGAGGTTGCAGTGAACCGAGATCGCACCATTACACTCCAGCCTAGGCGACAGAGCGAGACTCTGTCTCCCAAAAAAATAAATAAATAAAAGGCCAGGCAAAGTGGCTCATGCCTGTAATCCCAGCACTTTGGGAGGCTGAGACAGGCAAATCGCTTGAGGTCTGGAATTCAAGACCAGCCTGGCCAACATGGTGAAACCCCGACTCTACTAAAAATACAAAAATAAGGTGGGCGTGGTGGTGCACGCCTGTAATCCCAGCTACTCGGGAGGCCGAGGCAGGAGAATCACTTGAACTCAGGAGGCAGAGGTTGTAGTGAGCTGCAAGATTACACCACTGCACTCCAGCCTGAGCGACAGAGCAAGACTCCATCTCAAAACAAAAAAAAAAAAAAAAAAAAGAGGGAAGGATGAAACCATCCTTTTTTTCTGGATTGGTCTATGAATTTATGGAAAATGATCTGATACCCAGTCAATACCTGCCCTATCTGAAACTCCTGCTTTGCCTTTACTAAAGTACCTGATGAGGTATGACCCTGCTTGTGGCTGCTCATTCCCGAGGATATCACAAATCCTGGGATGGAGCCTTGACTTTCTATTTCCTTGGTTCCATCTTCAGTAACGACTTCCCAACCTGAAAGGAGTGGGTAGTCAAGGAAAAAACAGAAGGAAACAAAAAGGCACAGCTGAAAGGGAAGGGGCTCTTTGACTAACAGTGCTATTTAATTTAGTCCAAGTTTAGGCCATTTGTATTGGAATTCCTAGCTTGGAGAAGTGCCTTATATTGAATTACACAATAAATAATTTTCTATTACATGAATTTGCTGTTCCTAGCTAGAACATAACATTTGAAAAAATCTTAAGTTCTACACATCAAGGCTGGCACACAAACACCAGAGGTGAGGCTTCGTTAGCATGTACAAATGGGGCAGAACAGACTATGCAGAAAATATTTGTATAAAGGATACGGGTACTTATGGCTTCAGCATCTGAACGCAGCAGTCTCCTTACTTCATTTTCCACATCTGGAGATTCAATGTACTGAAGCAAAGTTGGGGATTAGAGGGGGATACCAATACTGTCATTTAACACCTTGTGTTTTGCAGGAGTGCCCTCCTATGTACCAATGAATTCAAATGTTAGGCCTCTTTAAATTCTGATCCAACCAAATTTCTACTTTAAGTAGTGCTATTTATGAAGGAATCTTTAGCCAGAGTCTAGAATTTTATACAGTAAACTTATTTTTTCCTAATTAAACAAATTACTTGAGACATTTAATCTTTTCAATCTGCAGTTCTATGGTAAAGACCTCTCTCAGAGGTGCAACCCTTAGGTCTCAGTTATAAATTATTTGTCCTGGTTTATATTGGCAAAGAACTATAATTCCTTATTAGTTACTTAGAAATAATTTGGTTTAAAGATCCAAATTCCCAGATTTCACTTCCCCACATCTTTATTATTAGAGATGTTCCTACAAAAACTGGATCTTAGCTGTATGTTCTCCCTTGAATCCAGTTTTACATAATTATCTCCACAGCAACCAATTTGTCATGCCACAAATAGAAATTAGGACTTTGATGGGGAATAAGCAATTGCAAACAACTGCTGTTAAAAGTGAACTCTGGCTCCCAAGGAATGGCTTTTGATAAAAAAGAGCAGATTAGAATACACGGGGTCACTGGCCAAATTGTATCTTTTCCTCTAGGAGTTATCAAACATCAAACAATGAATTCATTTTTCAGTGAATCAAACCCAGTGTATGTGTTTAGGATGAGGGTTAGAGGTGAGAAGGAAGGCTCAAAAGTAGCTTTTGTGGTTGATTTGATTCATTTGAAATGAATGAGCTATTAAATAAAATATATTAAGGGTAAAAATGAAGTTATATTATGACTGCTGTACCTCAGGAAGGCTGCTTTTTTCCATTTCTTTGACATCAGGGACCTATGAAATAAAACACAATAAACAAGTTATATTATGATGCCTATATTTCAGTAAAGCTTAAAGAGTTCTACAACTATTCTTAACTTTGTTTTACATTGAGTAGGCACTCAATAAATGTTGACTTACAGAGTATAAAAACCAAGGCAACTGTGTTCATAGACTGGAAGACTCAACATAGTAAAAATGTCAATTCTCCCCAAATTGATCTATAAGTTTAATGTAATTCCTGCCAAAATTCTAGCAAGGTTTTCTGTAGCTATAGACAAGCTTATTCTAAAACTTACATTAAAAGATATAGGCTTTTGGCCAGGCATGGTGGCTCATGCCTGTAATCTCAGCACTTTGGGAGGCCAAGGCAGGCGGATCACCTGAGGTCAGGAGTTCAAGACCAGCCTGACCAACATGGTAAAACCCGTCTCTACTACAAATACAAAAATTAGCCAGGCATGGTGGCCCATGCCTGTAATCCTAGCTACTTGGGAAGCTGAGGTACGAGAATCGCTTGACCAGGGAGGTGGAGGCTGCAGTGAGCTGAGATCGTGCCACTGCACTCCAGCCAGGACAACAGAGCAAGACTCTGTCTCAATAAATAAATAGATAAATAAATAAATAAATAAATAAATAAAGATATGGACTGTAGAATGGCTAAACAATACTGACAAATAAAAGTGAAGTCAGAGCAATCAGCCTTCTAATTTCAGGCCTTTCTAATTTCAGGACCAATTATATAGTGACACTGTGATATTGGTGGAGGGATTGACAGATGGATCAATAGAACAGAATGGAGAACCTAGAAACAGAGCCACAAAAACAAGCCCAACTGATTTTGGCAGAGGTGCAAAAGCAATACAACAGAGGAAGGATAGCCTTTTCAACAAATAGTGCTAGAGCAATTAGACATCCTTTGGCAAGAAAAGCAAAAATAAAAATAAAAAACAAAAACCTTGAACTAAACCTCATAGCTTTACAAAAATTAAGTCAAAAATGGGCATCGGGCTTAAAAAGAAGTTAAAAAAAAAAAAGCAGGAGAAAATCTTCAGGATCTGGGCTAGGCGAAGAGTTCTTAGATTTACCATAAAAAGCAAGATCATTTTCAAAAAAATCAATATATTGTGCCTCATCAAAACTAAAAATTTTAGCTCTCTGAAAGACCCTACAAAGAGGATGGAAAGACAAGCTACAGACTGGGAGAATATATTTGCAAACTACATATCTGATAAAACACTAGTAGTATTTAGAATATAAAAAGAACTCTCAAAACTCAATAATAAAAAATCAATTTAGAAAATAGGCAAAAGGCATGAGCAGACATTTCATTGAAGTGGAATAGATGGCACATGAGATGTTCAACGCCATTAGGTATCAGGGAAATGTAAACTAATACCACTACATTAGTGGTGTGGTGTGAGATCACTACACACCTATCAGAATGGCTAAAATGTAAAATAGTGACAACACCTAATGCTGGTGAGGAGGTGGAGAAACTGGATCATTCATACATTATTGGCAGGAATATAAAATGGTACAGTCACTCTGGAAAACAGGTCGTTTCTTATCAAACTAAACATGCAACTACCATATGACCCAGCAATTATACTCCTGGACATTTATTCCAAAGAAATGAATACTTATATTCACACAAAAACCTGTTCACAGCTTTATTTATAATAGTCAAAACCTGTAAACAACCCAGATGTTCTTCGATGGGAGAACAGTTATATAATGTGGTACATTCATACCATGGAATACTACTCAGCAATAAAAAATAAACTATTAATGCTACAAAAACTTACATGGATCTTAAGTGAATTATGCTGAATGAAAAAATAAGCTAGTCTCTGATGTTATATACTACATGATTCCATTAATATTAAATTTTTGAAATGACAAAATTACAGAGATAGAGATCAGATTAGTGATTACCAGGTGTCAGAGACTGGGGTGTGAGGTGGAAGGAAAATGGGCATGGTTATATAAAAGCAAAATGAGGGATCCTTTTGATGATGAAACTGTTTTGTATTTTGACTGTGTAGGCAGATACATGAACTTACACATGGGATAAAACTGCATAGAACTAAACACATGCACAAAAATACATGAGTACAAGTAAAACTGGAGAAATTGGAATAAGATTGCTGAATTCTAATCATGTCAATTACCTGTTTGTGATATTGTACTATAGTTTTACAAAATGGGGAAAATGGCAAAAAGGTACACGATATCTCTCTTTTATTTCTTACAACTGTATGTGAATTTACAATTATTTCAAAATAAAATGTTTAATTTTAAACAAAAGAAGAAGCCAAGCCACAATACTCCTATAGTTTGCCCAAGGTTCTATAAGCCTGAAATAAGACTAGGAATATAACCACAATTCCCAATTTTCAGGTTCTGGATGGGTTCACTTTAAAACTAGATCTTGCAATCGAAAACTGAAAGCATTAACAGAAGTTTCAAATGTATGATTCTTCCAGACCCCAAATGACTAGCCTATAACCTAAAGGATCAGGTATTTTTATTCACTGCTATATTCCCAACTGCTAGCATACAGCGCCTGGCATTTAGTTCACATTCAATAAATGTTTATTGAACATATAAATGAATTAACAAATTAATTCCCAACTGACTTTTTCTCTTTCCTTCTGGCCCATGATCCTCTTCTAATCAGCCCGGCAGACACACAAACTGCATGTAACTAACCTTTTTTTGTGTTTTCCGGAACCTTTTCTTTCTGACATTCTTAAGTGGTGGAGTAACTAAAATAAATACAACACAGTGAAACGTTATATGATTGATGGTAGTCACATAGCTGAATTTGATAAAGACAAAGATCATGCTATAAACCAAAGGCTCATGACATGACTCCTTTGTTTTGTTTTGTTTTGTTTTGTTTCTTTTGAGATTGAGTCCCACTCTGTTGCCCAGGCTGGAGTGCAGTGGTGCGATCTCGGCTTACTGCAACCTCCTCCTCCTGGGTTCAAGCGATTCTCCTGCCTCAGCCTCCTGAGTAGCTGGGATTATAAGCGCCCACCACCACACCCAGCTAATTTTTGTATTTTTAGTAGAGACGGGGTTTCACCATGTTGGCCAGGCTGGTCTCAAACACCTGACCTCAGGTGATCCACCCGCCTCGGCCTCTCAAAGTGCTGGGATTATAAGCGTGAGCCACCGTGCCCAGCCAACATGACTCCTCTTAAGAGTGTCTGAGAACTTAATGAACCAAACACCTAAGTGTGGTAAGAGGTCCCTGTTTCACAAGGAATTAGGATTCAGCAAATAAATTTTAGTCAGCAGGAATGAGCAAGGGGCTGTTGACTTACTGCCATGCTTCCAGACATATTTTTTCTCTCTCCCCCTTTCTTTTTTCCTGGTTATATTAGGATCAGCAGAGGCAGCTGATTCTTCTGGAGAAGGGTGGATATCACCATCAGTAGTGCACACAAGCATCTACATTTAACAAAGACAAAGAAGTTGACTATGACCACAAATTTTGGGTTAGCAATCATAATCATTCTTACCACTAGAAATGCACAGAAGAGACTGATACTTGCCATTTCCAGAAAACCAAGTATTTTGTAATGTACATTTATATTCTCTCATTTTTGCAGTCTCTCTCTCTCCCTCTCCTCCCCTCCACCAGCCACCAGCAGCACTACGTATGAACTCTGAGGGTTTTTTTTTTTTTTTTTCCCCACTAGAGTGTTTACCACTACAGGGGGAATATATTGGAAACAGATCTTGGAACTTAGCTTAGGTTTTTTGTTTTGTTTTGTTTTTAGACAAAGTCTTGCTCTGTCATACAGGCTGGAGTGCAATGGTATGTGATCATGGCTCACTGCAGCCTTGACCTCCTGGGCTCAAGTGATCCTCCCACCTCAATCTGTAGAATAGCTGGGACTACAGGTATGTGCCACCACACCTGGCTAATTTTGTTTTTATAGAGATGAAGTCTCACTATGTTGCCCAGGCTGGTCTCAAACTCCTGGGCTCAGGTGATCCTCCCGCCTCAGCCTCCCAAAGTGTAGGGATTATAGGCATGAGCCACTGTGCCTGGCCTATCTCAGCATTTTGATTTAGAGAGGAAATAAGAAATCAACAGCAGAGATGATGAATAAGAACCAATTTAAACCTCCAGAGTTAACAACATACTGTTTTAATACAAAGTTCAGAAGATCCCAGCTGCTCATATGTTTCAATTAATGAAAAGTCACTATAAGTGGCAAATGGGACTCTCTATAGGCTATTTGGTTAAAATAAAATACTGAAATCTAGGGATCAAACACCAAACCAGCACATGACATTTCATTCCTGTGCAATCGATCTGGAAATTAGAAATGCCAAGCAGCCATTCACCAAGTAGAAAGGAGTACTGAAAGAAAGAAAAATAGGGAGAGAAAAGAATTCCTTGAAGGATGTGAGGCTAGTAAAGAAAACTAGTCCATACCTGAGAAATGTCTGCTGTTTTATAAAAAGTTTTTTTATCAAGCGTTCTCAGGCTTTCAATAACACAAGGCAAATCAACCAGCTTAGCAGCTAGTGGAACATCTTCTACTTCAACAACTGCATGGCGCCTATCAGCTGAAGAGAAGTAAAGATTAAAGTTGATATCTTCCCAGTGAACTCTTAAACTTCCTAAGGTTTGAATAATGAAGACTTACGTGGGACAGACTAGTCTTTCCAAGAAACCTACTATCTCTCATAATGCTAAAATTGTGTACACAATTAATAGCTTCCTAAAGAAAAAAATGGAAAGCATATGGAACTCTTTTTTTCCTAGTTTACATCACTTGGGCAAAAGTAGCTAAGTTTCTTGTTAATGGATGTGAACTAAATATGTGTGAAGCAATAAATGTTTCATTCTCATCCTGAAAAGCAAATTCCATTCATTAAAACCAATTCCTTTCTTTTTAAAAGCATTTAATCGTGTCATTGTACATGTGTGTTTTCAAAGGGCTGGGTGAGGGAAGGATTGACTGACCCTAGAATGGTGCTAATAAGTCTCAAGTTAAATCTTTAATTAGCTTCAAAAAGACAAAATTCTATACAACAGCCATATATTAAACTCTGAATATTGCTGCTCAGATGTCCCAAACATGAATGTCTTTTGACACAAGAGGATTCAAGTATAATCTTCTAGTACTATGTGAAGAAAGAAAGACACAAAACAATGTTTACCATTTTGTGTGAATTAGATTGTTCCCATTCTAGTATTATGCATAAAAGTTTTGCCAATAAGGAAGTGACAAGAAACAGTTAATATCAGTTATCTGTGGTATTGAGGTTGGGGCACCATAAAGAAGAAGAGTTTTATTTCTTCTCCTTTTGAACTTTTCTTTTTCATTTGATTTTTTTTTTTTTTAGAAGGAGTCTCTCTCTGTTGCCCAGGCTGGAGTGCAGTGGCACGATCTCTGCTGACTGCAACCTCCGCTGCCTGGGTTCAAGCAATTCTCATGCCTCAGTCTCCCAAATAGCTGGGATTACAGGTGTGTACCCCCATGCCTGGCTAATTTTTGCATTTTTAGTAGAGATGGGGTTTCGCCATGTTGGCCAGGCTGGTCTGGAACTCCTGACCTCAAGTGATCTGCCCGCCTCAGCCTCCCAAAGTGCTGGGATTACAGGCATGAGCCACCACGCCCGGCCTGTTTTATTTGAATTTTCTAACTATGAACTTATATTATCTTTAAAAAAAAATATCAATCACTGTTAACTAACTGGTGAGATTATGGGCCACTTTTTGTTTTCTTTATATACTTCTCTGTATTTAAAAAAAAAAACTAGCAAAATTTATTTATCTATTTTTGGTTGTGTGTTTTTTATGCAGATAAGCTTGTGTGAAAACATTTATTTATTTATTTACTTACTTATTTACCTATTTACAAGAGCATGCATGCTCTTGGTGCAAATGGCCTCTAGATTCACCCATGGTGTCCCAAATGACAGAATTTTGTTCTTTTTAAAAGGCTGAGTAGTATGGCATTGTGTATACGTATCACACTTTCTTTATCCATTCATCCATTGACGGACACTTAGGTTGATTCCATATCTTGGCTACTTTGAATAATGCTACAATGAATATGGGAGTGCAGAGAGATATGCCTTCAATGTGTTGCTATCAATTCCTTCTGTGAATATATTCACAGAAGTGGGGTTGCTGGATCATATGGTTGTTCTATTTTTAGTTTTCTGAGGAACCTCCATACCATTAAAAAAAAAAATAATGGCTGTAGGCCAGGCACAGTGGCTCACGCTTGTAATCCCAGCACTTTGGGAGGCCGAAGTGGGTGTATCACTTGAGGTCAGGAGTTCGAGACCAGCCTGGTCAACATGGTGAAACTCTATCTCTACTAAAAATACAAAAAAATTAGCCAGGTGTGGTGGCACATGCCTGTAGTCCCAGCTACTCGGAAGGCTGAGGCAGGAGAATCACTTTAACCCAGGAGGCGGAGGTTGCAGTAAGCCAAGATCGTGCCACTGCACTCCAGCCTGGGTGACACAGCAAGA